GTCTCCATTTATCGGACTAAATTTTGCTATATATTTGTTATGAGAATAAAATAGGATATGCCCATGTGTGCCACCCTGAGTTCCATAGTAGACTAATGTCAAAAATAAAAGGTTACTTTAATTTGGAAATGAATTTCTTCTTTTAAAAAATATTGCATCTGGTAATTTACACAGCTATTTCCCCTATATTATGGTGATGCTTTTGGATACTTTGCAACTGAAATGGAAAGCGAGAGTATGATATTATTTTATTATTTTGTCCTGCTGTTAGCTGCCTCCAGTAGTTTTATAATGGAAAGGTGGGGTTGCAAGCATTTTTCATGAATAAATGGAAGGATCCACATTGCTGCAGTTTTGGAAAACTCGGTGACTTCTTTGCACGAGACTGGCCAAGGACGAGTGCAATAGGAAAACTGTTTTTTTGTGAATCTAAACTTCAAGGTGCAGCTCTTTTAGGGTATGGATAATATATCACCCAAGGTCTTTCTCGGTTATGGGAGGGAATAGCTTCCTCTGCTTCCACCTGAAAGAATCTCCTTCAGTTCACAACTTGGCACTGTATTGCCTTGGTAGATTTGAATACAAATCACGTCCTCCTCTGTCACGGTTCTTTATTTCTTCAGTGCTTCCTCTGTTATCTGCATCAGGACATTATGTGACTTTACAGCATTTATTAAGTAATACCGTCAACTGCTCTAAAGAGAGACAAAATGCCACCTGAAAGATAAACCAGTGACTTTTCAAAGTCTCTGAAAAGGGAAACATCTAAAGGGACAGCATTTGGTTTATGTTTTGTGATTCCAGCTTTACTTGACAGATATAACTTGCATGTAAATTGATTAATAATCTGCTTCTCCACCACCAGTTGATAGGCTTTTGAAAACACACATGCACACAACCATATGAAAGTGTCAGACAAAATCCATTGCTGATTGAACAACTTTCTTTGAATGGTGGATTTTATATTCATTTTGACCCTGCTGTACGTAGACAGTGAACCATATTCTAGTTTGAGTTAAAGGGAAATTTCAGTCGGCCAAATTCTCTGAGTTAGCACCGCATGCATGAAGTCACCATTTAATGCCTGCAGAATCCAGAAATGAAAGCCCCTTTCAGACAAATTTGCAGGTGAAGGGAAAGGCTTCACAGTGCCAGACTCCCCTCCCAACTTAAGTGTTTTCATTTCAGAAATGAGCCAATGCACATATTCTGCTTTGGATCCAAATCAGAACCAGAAGAAATCAGGGGTGCTTCTTAGCTGGCTTGAAACAAAGAGGGAGGGAAATTATTTGTTTGCACTGTATAATCTGTTTTTTTGGGGAGGGAGGGTTGCGCCTTTTGGATGCCTAACTTTGTAATATATTTGGCTGACTCTGGAGTCTTTTCCCAATAAGAAAGATGCCAAGAAGGGAGACTGACAACAAGCCAGCATTGTAATTGGCAGGTCTCTCTGTCAGTGGAATAATGCCTGAAGTGCCTAAAACTCCTGGACCTATTTGTCTCCATAGTTTGGCAGGCTTCATCCCCCTCTGAAGCAGCTATCATATCTTCAAATTTCATCTCATAGAGTGAAATTTATTGGGTTTTCCTCCAGCAATCTTGAAGCAGCCCTTTCCTGTGGGGATGGCTACCCTTTTCAGATGCTCTGTTCCCTGTATTTGGGAAGCATCAACAGTAGCATGCTTCTGACATTTACTGAAAACACACCAGGTTGGGAAAAGACCCTGCTCTGGTATCAGTTTCTAAAAAGATAAAATTTGGAACGGATCAAACAACAACAATTGATCATAATATCCAGGGAAGCTCATATGATTTCTGAACCTGGGGTAGCTCAGTCAGACGAGCATATGACTCTTAATCTCAGGGTGGTCGGTTTGGGCCCCACATTGGGCAGAAATATTCCCGCATTTCAGGGGGTTAGACTAAATGGCCCTCATGGTTCCTTCTAATTCTACAATTCTATGAAATGCAATGGCCTTGGGGCTTTACAGGTGATATTTGCACCAGCTAAGGAAGAGCTGGTTTAATATAATCAAACCTTGCTTTGGTTGAAGCAGCTACCAAATCAATCAGAATGTCCTGAATTGATTTGTAGTTCAAAATATTCTGCCAGCATCTTCCTGATGCTGCCTGCCCATATCTAGTATCTCAAGCCTTAAAAAAACAACAACACCTTCATATGCTTTTAAAATCTTGATGAAAGGAACACAGCAAGCATAGGACTATGAGAATTTGCACAGTATTTCTAAAACATACTTTCTTTCTTTGGAAAAAGTAAATTTTAAAACCCCTGGAGCTACCCGTCAGAGATTTGGTAGAATTAATCATTTCTTTAAGGGTTAATATCTCCAATTGTCAGGTCCAGTGCTTTTTTTCTTAAAAAAATGTTTAGGGGTACTCTCATTTTCCTACTCATATTGATATACTGCCCCTCAATGAGGCCAGACTTAGATTCAGAAAATGTTTAGGGGTATGTGTACCCCCAGAAAAAAAGCACTGGTTAGATCTGTGTGAAGAAACAGAAAAGTTAGGGCCATTTTAGTTTCATAATGTCAATGGGGTTTCCAGAGATTTGCATTTTCTGTTTTCATCCAGATTCAAATATGGGGTAGGTCAGAGTAGTCCAGACTGGATCAGGTCCAATTTAGATTTACAAACTGAGGGCACAAATCAGATCAGGGGGTCAATGCACAGCCCTAACATCCATCCCACAAAATGTGCATTGAAAGTTCTACCATAGGATAGCAGTATATCTACTTCCTTGATAATATGGCTGTCAAATACACAGTTTCTACCATTAAAAAATGAACGTTTATTTAGAGAAAGAAAAGGCAGCACTGATTTATAAGAAAATATGCCCTGTCTTCCAGAGTTGAACCAAACAGAATGATTTCTCTACTTAGGGTTAACCATGAAAGCACTAGTTGGTGAATCACCTTGCTTAGTCACATAATTTATGTACTGTATTTTTACAAGTGTATTTGAATAAAATCTGGCTGATGTGAAAAGGTCTGAAATTACTTTTCTGTGCTATTCATTTAAACAAAACAGTTACTATTATTAATCTCCTCAGAATATTACCCACATTTGTATGCTCTAACATGTATTTTAACGATTTTGTTTAATAATGTTATAACACCTACATGATTAATTCAACTAAAACCTTTGAGTCAGTCCAAATCTTTCACTGGTTTATAAATCAAAAAGCGTTTAAAAAGAATACATTTTGAAAGCCCTGAGCCAATGTTTCGTAATGTGTCTAATGGCTTTCAGTGCATAAACCACATTGCTTTTGATTCTGCCACAAGTGAGGGCTCATTTACACTTCCACTTGTCCCATGCAAACACACACAAAGAAAATTATCAATAGAGGGAAAGCTCCCATTAGTGCCCATTTTGGGTTCCTTGAATTAGCCATTGGTCAGTCTATATCTGTCTGTCTGTCTGTCTATCTATCTATCTATCTATCTATCTATCTATCTATCTATCTATCTATCATCTATCTATCTATCATCTATCTATCTATCATCTATCTATCTATCATCTAGTAGTGCCTGTGTCTTGTACTTGTTTTCATATTAGTTGAATGGGTATCTTTTTTATTTTGCAAACAGAATTACGGTCATAGTGACGAGATAGACTTCCAATGCAAGTACTGACAAGAGTAATTCAAAAGCTTCAGGGTTTCTTCCCCCAGAACACCTAATTTAGTTAGGCTTTGGCAAATATAGACTACTGTCAATGTTAATCATTTTTTATTCACTTAAATCTACTAAGAAATAATGATCAGTATTTGTTCTTCCTCATGAATTGCTGCTGATGGGTTAGGGTCTTCCAGACGTATTTGTTGAACAAAATTAAGTAATTGAATGGATCAAGTATTTTCTTTTAACCACAATTTAGATTTTGCTAAATTACCAATGAACTTCAGAAATGAATCTGTCTTCTCTACTAAGAACAAAACGTCCTGAAAATTCAGAGCACCCTTGCCCAGTTTAAATCCTTGTTTTTCTCCAAGAATTTAGTTGCTGGTGACATTTTCAACAAGTCTTTCTTACCTATGGAAAAGAAGGAAAGAAGGAGAGTTCCCTGGGAGGAGGGATTTATCGTTAAACTACTCCCAAAATTATAGATTTCTGAGGGGTATAGGAGTTTCCTATCAACTCTCAGCTCCTTGAATTCTTGGGGAGGGGGGTACTATGGCTGATAAAATAGGTATCATAGTGCTTTACCTGTATGGTGTGAATATGGCCCTAGAATGTTCAGAACTGAGATTGACACAATGAAATCAAAGCAGAGGTTAAGGGTATATCCAGATTGTCAGTAGCTTGTGGGAGAACTTTATGGTCACAGCAACACCATACATTTAAAGCACTCTTATACCACTTTAATGATCATGGCTTTTCCCAAGGAAACCTCAGGAATGTAGTTTCCTTGTTACAAAACTGTACAAGCCTCTGCCCACCTGACAATGTTGGACTCCAGCTGGCATGGCCAATAGTCAGGGATGATGGGAGTTGTAGTCTAGCAACTTCTGGAAGTCCACCACCACCACCACAGCAGATGCTGCTCCCTAGCACTTGGATTCAGCTCATTTAGCATCCAGAGATGAGCCATAAATAATATGTGACATTGTGCAAATGGCCACAAAGCTTCTTTTAGAGAATTGCCTAAAAGCAGATCTATAAGAACCCATTTAAATGTATCTAACAAAGCATTTTTTCCCCTATTCCCATATTATGCTGAGCGTATTATATTTTGGTATTGCTGATCCTATGAGCAAATAAGTATATTTTATTTTCTAGTTATTCCTGAATCTCACGTTCATTTCATAAGAGAAAAAATAACTGCCTGAAAATTAATGGGGAATTTGTTTTCTAAACAAATTATAAAATATTTCTCATTAAACATTTAAGCTATGCAAATGGACACAATGTTTTATAAAATGTTCCATATAACTCAGCGTACAAATACTATAGTTTTAATTTCTCCTTTTTCAGGTCTAGGATGGGTACTACTAAAGAGCCAGACATAGTCCATTTGGAGTCAAAGACAGTGGAAGGCCGTAAGTTCTTTTGCTTCTTCATAGTCATTTTATTGCAAGTGTAAATACTTGGTCATGGAAAGAGCATCCAGATCTAAGATATCATCAGAGAGATCTAGCAGCAGCAGCAGCACATTACTGTCTGGTTTGGTGCTGCGGAAGCCATTCTCAAGTAGGTTGCAATTCATAAGGATATTCTGCAGCTAAATACAGTTTATACAGAAATAGAAAAGATTTGTAAGTCATGTAGGATCTGCAAGAGGAAAGCATAAAAATGAAACAACAAGCATAAAATGTTTTTCTTCTTATGGCCTGCTTCATTTGATCAGCCCTTTCTAGGGATGCTGTGGAAGTGTGTAATATTTGAAGTTTGAATCTTGGCTTCTTTCCTCCACAAAATGGCTCACAAACTTTGGCATCATTTCAGAATGATAGCGTTCTCTTCTCTCTGCTGTTGTCCCTGAGCTGGGGAGAGAGACACAGAGATTTTTCAGTTGGTTTTGCTTCTGAAAGTCCTTCTTTTCCATTTCTGCCATCTTCTTGAATACCTGTAAACTGCATACCAGTATGTTTTAGTGATTTTAATGTTTGGTTTTATTATTGTTCTTTTTATGTATTTTATATGTAGCCACAACATTTTCACACCAGAGTGGGATTGTTTTGATAATGAGCTGCCAATAAATGAAACAAACTAATTAACAAACATGCCATTGAACTCAGCCAGAATATTCTAGCTTTTACACAGGATCAGGCTGCTACTCAGATTTTGGAGGTTTCGTGCTCTCTCACCTATGGGTAGCTTCTAAGTAAAAGGCAGAATCCCAAGAAATTATCACTGAGGTAGAACTGAGGTAGATGGGAAGGAACATAATTAAGACTGATTAAGATTGATTGTACTATGTGCAATAGTATACAGTAAAATAATTAATATATTATGCTTTGTTGTATTTTATTTTGTTGCATGCAAGCCTGTGTTTCTTGTGGTGAAGGCTGGTATAAAAATACCTTAACAGATTGATTCCATTTTGACAGAGTTGCAGTGGAAGGCTCAGTGAACAGTTACAGAGAATAAAATTAGACACATTATGCCAAATAGTTAATAAGTATATCCAGTTCAGTTTTAAAAAGAAGTGGAGTAAATAGTTTGCGTAGCATATATTTATAGCATCCAGTATCAGTTTAAATAACATTCAGCATTAATTGCTGCAATGTATAAATTTAATCCCACCATTAACACTTTTGCAAAGTCCTGAAGGGTTTTTGATCAACTGTACACTTTGAAAATAAATAACTAAAATCCATATTTATATTTAATAGTTTCTCTTGAAGTCTGAAAGCCCATTTTAACTAAAAGTAAATAAATGAGTCCCCTTCATGGATCACTGCCTTGCCGTGGCGAAGGGGCTTGAAGAACTCAGAGAAGCTATGAACTACGCCGAGCAGGGCACACAAGATGAACAGGTCATAGTGGAGAGTTTGGACCAAAAGTGATCCACCTGGAGGAGGAACCGGCAAGCCACTCCAGTATCCTTGCCAAGAAAACTCCATGGACAAAGACAACAGGCATATAAAAGTTATGACGCTGGAAGATGAGCCCCTCAGGTCGGAAGGCATCCAACATGCTACTGGGGAAGAGCGGAGGGCAAGTACAAGTAGATCCAGAGCTGATGAAGCGGCTGGGCCAAAGCTGAAAGGACGCTCAGTTGCGGATATGCCTGGAAGCGAAAGGAAAGTCCAATGCTGTAAAGAAAAATATTGCATAGGAACCTGGAATGTAAGAACCATGAACCTGGGTAAGTTGGAGGTGGTCAAAAATGAGATGGCAAGAATAAATATTGACATCCTGGGCATCAGTGAACTAAAATGGACGGGAATGGGCGAATTCAGTTCGGATGACCATCACATCTACTACTGTGGGCAAGAAACCCGTAAAAGAAATGGAGTGGCCCTCATAGTCAACAAAAGAGTGGCGAAAGCTATACTGGGATACAATCTCAAAAATGATAGAATGATCTCGATACGAATCCAAGGCAGACCTTTTAACATCACAGTAATCCAAATTTATGCACCAACTACTGGTGCTGAAGAAACTGAAATTGACCAATTCTATGAAGACTTACAACACCTTATAGAAGTGACACCAAAGAAGGATGTTCTTCTCATTATAGGGGATTGGAATGCTAAAGTAGGGAGGCAAGAGATAAAAGGAACAACTGGCAAGTTTGGCCTTGGAGATCAAAACGAAGCAGGGCAAAGGCTAATAGAGTTCTGTCAAGAGAACAAGCTGGTCATCACAAACACGCTTTTCCAACAACACAAGAGACGACTCTACACATGGACATCACCAGATGGGCAGCATCGAAATCAGATTGATTATATTCTCTGCAGCCAAAGATGGAGAAGCTCTATACAGTCAGCAAAAACAAGACCTGGAGCTGACTGTGGCTCAGATCATCAGCTTCTTATAGCAAAATTCAAGCTTAAACTGAAGAAAGTAGGAAAAACCACTGGGCCGGTAAGATACAATCTAAACCAAATCCCTTATGAATACACAGTGGAAGTGAGGAACAGGTTTAAGGATTTAGATTTGGTGGACAGAGTGCCTGAAGAACTATGGATGGAGGCTCGTAACATTGTACAGGAGGCAGCAACGAAAACCATCCCAATGAAAAGGAAATGCAAGAAAGCAAAGTGGCTGTCCAACGAGGCCTTACAAATAGCGGAGGAGAGAAGGCAAGCAAAATGCGAGGGAGATAGTGAAAGATACAGGAGATTGAATGCAGATTTCCAAAGAATAGCAAGGAGAGACAAGAAGGCCTTCTTAAACGAGCAATGCAAACAAATAGAGGAAAACAACAGAATGGGAAGAACCAGAGATCTGTTCAAGAAAATTGGAGATATGAAAGGAACATTTCGTACAAAGATTACCATAATAAAGGACAAAAGTGGTAAGGACCTAACAGAAGCAGAAGACATCAAGAAGAGGTGGCAAGAATACACAGAAGAATTATACCAGAAAGATATGGATGTCTCGTACACCCCAGGTAGTATGGTTGCTGACCTTGAGCCAGACATCCTGGAGAGTGAAGTCAAATGGGCCTTAGAAAGCACTGCAAATAACAAGGCCAGTGGAAGTGATGGTATTCCAGCTGAACTATTTAAAATTTTAAAAGATGATGCTGTTAAGGTGCTACACTCAATATGCCAGCAAATTTGGAAAACTCAGCAGTGGCCAGAAGATTGGAGAAGATCAGTCTACATCCCAGTCCCAAAGAAGGGTAGTGCCAAAGAATGCTCCAACTACCGCACAATTGCACTCATTTCACACGCTAGCAAGGTTATGCTTAAAATTCTACAAGGAAGGCTTAAGCAGTATGTGGATCGAGAACTCCCAGAAGTGCAAGCTGGATTTAGAAGAGGCAGAGGAACCAGAGACCATATTGCAAACATGCGCTGGATTATGGAGAAAGCTAGAGAGTTCCAGAAAGACATCTACTTATGCTTCATTGACTATGCAAAAGCCTTTGACTGTGTCGACCACAGCAAACTATGGCAAGTTCTTAAAGAAATGGGAGTGCCTGATCACCTCATCTGTCTCCTGAGAAATCTCTATGTGGGACAAGAAGCTACAGTTAGAACTGGATATGGAACAACTGATTGGTTCAAAATTGGGAAAGGAGTACTACAAGGCTGTATTTTGTCTCCCTGCTTATTTAATTTATATGCAGAATACATCATGCGAAAGGCTGGGCTGGATGAATCCCAAGCTGGAATTAAGATTGCCGGAAGAAATATCAACAACCTCAGATATGCAGATGACACAACCTTGATGGCAGAAAGTGAGGAGGAATTAAAGAACCTTTTAATGAGGGTGAAAGAGGAGAGCGCAAAATATGGTCTGAAGCTCAACATCAAAAAAACGAAGATCATGGCCACTGGTCCCATCACCTCCTGGCAAATAGAAGGGGAAGAAATGGAGGCAGTGAGAGATTTTACTTTCTTGGGCTCCATGATCACTGCAGATGGTGACAGCAGCCACGAAATTAAAAGACGCCTCCTTCTTGGGAGAAGGGCAATGACAGGCCTAGACAGCATCTTGAGAAGTAGAGACGTCACCTTGCCAACAAAGGTCCGTATAGTTAAAGCCATGGTTTTCCCAGTAGTGATGTATGGAAGTGAGAGCTGGACCATAAAGAAGGCTGATCGCCGAAGAATTGATGCTTTTGAATTATGGTGCTGGAGAAGACTCTTGAGAGTCCCATGGACTGCAAGAAGATCAAACGCATCCATTCTGAAGGAAATCAGCCCTGAGTGCTCACTGGAAGGACAGATCGTGAAGTTGAGGCTCCAGTACTTTGGCCACCTCATGAGAAGAGAAGACTCCCTGGAGAAGACACTGATGCTGGGAAAGATGGAGGGCACAAGGAGAAGGGGGCGACAGAGGACGAGATGGTTGGATAGTGTTTTCGAGGTTACCAGCATGAGTCTGACCAAACTGCGGGAAGTAGTGGAGGACAGAGGTGCCTGGCGTGCTCTGGTCCATGGGGTCACGAAGAGTCGGACACGACTAAACGACTAAACAACAACAACAACAACAAATAAATGAGTGTGGAAGTAGTGTCAATTTCTGCATTTTCCATTGAATGACTCTCATGTGAAGCTTATCTCAGGCTTTCATTTTGTATCCCATGGGTATCACAGCGAGCTTGCAGTAAGCTTAAAACTGAACCAGAAAAGAGTTTTAGAAGGGAAGAATGAAGGGGGAGTTTTGCCTCTTTGAGGTCACCCCAAATACAGATGCTTTGGGGGTTAATGTGGTGGAGTCTTTGCCACTAAATGCCTAGAGTGAAGATAACGGGCAGTAAATTGTTTAAATTGTGGGCTACCATATCATTAATTTAAATATCTGATATGCAGCATCTTAAATAGTTAAAGTCAACCTCCCCAAACTCAGCACATGCATACTTACTACCAAAGTGAAAGCGCAGAACTGTGATTCCTAGTATTCATCCTGGCTCTGAGCACTGGATTAGTATTATGGTTCGTCTTTGTTCATCACAATCCATGTATTTGAAATATGTTTTAGGAGGCTCTATCAAAACAATCTGTCCCTGAGCTAACAAAAAGAAAAGAGTCAATGAGACTCTTGGTGATGGATCTGAACTCTAGGTCCCTTGGACTAGTAAAGCATGAGAGGTTATTTTGGGCAAATACCACTCAAATGTCTCAGGCTTATCACCGATGCTCTCTGCATATCTCTACTCCTCAAACCCACTCTGAACCTGTGAGTTGTACTTATTTATATAGTGAATGCCTTTTATGAAATGAAGCTAAGTCTTAGCCCAGAACATAGTAGAATGGATTTTTCCCCCAAAAAATGCTTGGGCCCCACTACCAACGTGCTCATCTTGTCCCAGCAAAAGCAGGGCATGTGGTTTGGGGTGGAACCTGAGGGAAGCTGCTTAAAACAGATGAGGTCATTGCTCTCAAAACAGTGAGAGAGTTCCTTGACCACATCTGATTGTGCTGTCAATACAAGGCACCCGGTCAGCCTCATCCAAGTGCTCACTCTTCTGACGTGCAGAGGCAAATCTACACATTAAGTAGTAGACTAGGTTGACAGAGAAGTGCTGCTCCATAATGACAGGGCAGTTAACATATGGCCTCTGTAGAGCTTTATCTGATGTGCCATATTTTGATGTGTATTATGATATCCTTGGAATGAAGCCTTTAGAGATATTAGGAACTTGGGAATCATATACGGCGTACATACCATATTACGGTAAGGTTCATCTGCTCAGGAATCTTTGTTCCTTATGCATCTCATCAAAGAGGTAGATCACCAGGCACATCAAACGTGCTTTTATAACCAGCCTACACATAGCCTTTACTGGCCACAATGGTAAAGGCACATATTTAGATTGACTGTGTGAGTCATAATTGCTGTAGTTAAAAATATGTCCAGATTTGCTTCAACCAGTTCATTCTTTAAGTATTCACCAATGGAAGGTGATTACTCCAGCTCTACAGTTTGACTGAATTTGGGAGAGAGAAGCTTCCCATCCACCACGATCCAGCACAAATAACTTGAAAGTAAATTTCACCAAATCAACGGATATGTATCACATATGTATCACAACCTGTTTCTAGATGGTTAGAAAAACAAAGGGACGAACAGCTAGCTATTCAGTCCATGCAGACCAGAGCCAGTGTGGCAATTCTTAATCTCTTTTTGCTAGTCGAGATCTGGTATATTTCCAATGTTACCGTAACAATTGAAACAGCAGCTGTTGTTGGGTATATGAGTGCTGAAAATGAGAAGCATAACATCCCAATTACTAGTGGGAGGCAGAACATCTGTGCCAGAAAAGGAATGAAATTAATTCCAAAGCTTAGCAATGGGATATATTAATTGACATGAATTAACTGTAAGTGATGAGGTGCTTCCTGTGTAACTGGGTAAATAAAAAATCCTCATGGATTGCATACCAAGAGAGTACCTGTTGTTGAATTGTGTCTCAATGAACACTACTACCCTAGCTCAAGAGGAAATAATTATTGAAAAAGAGCTGTAAAAATGCAATATATAAAAATCCTTATATTGAGTCCTTTTTTTCTTTTTCTTTTTTTTCTTTTTTCTTTTTCTTTTTCTTTTTCTTTGCTGTCTGACTTTCCTCATTGTGATAGTCATGGACTTAAATAGCACTGAAAGGACAATAGACAAAGTCATGGAAGATAAGGCTGTCCATGGTTGTCTTTGAGTCATAATGGTTGTATGCCACCCCTGGAAACAGACAAACTTTGGGCCAAACTTTCTTTAGCCCAAACATCACTTTCAACCTTGACCAGCAGCAGATGTGACTAAGACTAGTTGTGACAAAGTCATATTCAGAATACAGTCGCCCTCTCCAGCTAATCTGCACAGATAAACAGAGAATTGACAGCAGAGGGGGCAATTTACATCCCCACCAGACTGCTGGGCAGGCAGAGAGTTTTAAAATTCTCCAGCCACCAAAGTGCCATGTCTACTTTTGTCACCATGGCCATAATTGATAGGATCTTGCAAGGTGAGGGGAATGAGATAAGACAGCAAACTTTTTCAGCAGGGGGCTGGTCCACTGTCCCTCAGATCTTGTGGGGGGCCGGACTGTATTTTGAAAAAAAATTTTTTTAACAAATTCCTATGCCCCACAAATAACCAAGAGATGCATTTTAAATAAAAGGACCTGGCCGCCAGTCCTTAGTTTGCCTACGCATGGGATAAGAGAAAGCCAGATAAGACACTCGAGCTGTGGGTTAGCCATCCTTGAACTAAAGTGTTTTTATCTGATTTGGCAGAACTTTCTTATATTCTTATGTCTTTTACAAAAACAACATATTTGAGACCAATTGCAACAGAGGCTGCAGTTATGTACACAAATTTCTCAGTGAACATACATTAAGATGCACTGTGCATGAGTGTGCTCTGTGCCTCATAATGTATGAGACAGACCCATTTGATTTCATGGTCACTATGTATTCAGACAGCCAGGAACCAGGGCAGCTTGAGGCTCCCATCAGCATATTCACATTATATATGCATAGCAAGGTATGTGTGTGCATGTTTCCCACATTCAGGTAATATAGCAGCTAAATATAATATTGGAGCACTCCTTGGTTTGAAACCAACATATGGCTATTTGGGGAAGGGGGGTGCTAGAAATACAGTGGAACAGAGTGTTTTTATTCCCAAAATGTCATGCCATGATCAATCTCTTAATGTGGGAAAGAGTTCAGTGAACTGAGGCTATGAGTGAGTACAGATGGATGAATCTGTCATTTTTAGTTTCTCCCAGTTTCTCATTTTTCCAATCTGAAATTCAGTTTTGCCACTTTGAGTTCAGATTTTCCCTAATACACATTATTGTATGTGGATTTTACTTCATATGCATGTATTGGAAAACAATTTTGCCCAAAATGATGCATTTTTATATGTTAGTTTCACTAATACACATGTTTTGAGGCACACGGTTCTCTTATAAATGCTCTTTTATATATATTATATGGGTAGGGAACTGCATCACAAATTTCAGAGAAGTGCGAATTTCAAATGTTTGTTGCTTTTCTGTTTACAGACTGTTTGGGGAAGTTCAAATTAGATAGGTTTGCATTCATATGCAAACCAAACTAAAACTTTGTTTCCATCCCTGAGGCGCTAATGAGTTATTGCTATTAATTTTTATACACAAAGGGAGCTAAACACTGTGGTTTAGAATGCTACTTTGTCCCTGTGGTGATTATGCAGTTTTCTAGGGAGAAAATAATGAAGCAGAGGGACTTATTGTTTACATAATCAGCTGCCCATTGTTGCAGAGGGGAAAGACAGTGTTTTCAAAACTCATTACCTCTTCCGTTTTCTTTCCCATCACCATTTTCTTTCCTTCACGTAAACGTAGATTGCCATCAAGATACAGCACTCAGGAATTCACTGTGATGTTCTAACTATATGCGTGTAGCTGTATTCCCTTGCTCAGTCATTCATGTTCCTCACTGTTGATATTGGATATGACTGTGCTAATTCTTTCCTTTCAAGTACTAGTCGTTGTACATGTTTTCTTTCTGAAAGAGGCTTGAGGGTCTGCTGCCTTGCATGTATTTCCTAAGTGAGTCCTGTGTTTCTTGAAACTATTTTTAGATACCTTTTAAAACAATTTAATAAAAGTTCCTAGTTGTTTTCTTTTGCCAACTAAACAAGAAGTAGTAGGAATGGGGAATGCAGATTTAGAAAGAATGGCTATACTTTAAATAGAAATGCTGCACAGTACATTGTGAGGAAGACTGTGAACAGGTGACCTCTGCACTCCAGGTGCTAACTGTCTAAGACCACATCTTAGGATTCTTTATCTTTAAACTGCACTTTAAATGGAGGATGCCTGCTAGTCACCCTACTCAGTTGCTTCCTGCAGTATGGAAGAGTAGAGGACAACTGTGTGATGGATTGTTGTGTAGGCTTAATTCTATAAAGGGGTTGCATGTACACGGGAAGAACATGCATCCACTTTCAAAGTCATCCACACAAGAATACCTACTTTTCTTTGCCATGGAGAAAAGCACTGGAAATGTTGGGCCTAAATCAGCCTATCATGGCCACTAGTTGCTCCACCACATACCTCTGTTCCCTACCAAACCCTTAGAGTTGGCTTGACAAGGAAGGAAAACCTCCAGAAACATGCTTATAGAATTTTAAGGCGAATTTGGACTTTTTGCTTTGGCAAAACAACTTAATAATTTGGATGGAAACTAGAAAGAGTTCAGTGACTGTGAAATATCTTTAGAGTAGGGAAGGGCTGCAGGGAGAACAATTATAGAGATTCCAGTTTCCTGCACAGGCTGTTCTGACCACACTGTTTCAGTTTTTTCTCTTTTCTTTTTCCAGTATCTCTTCCATGTCTAGCAAAGTCACCCTGGCTATCCAGACTTTCCATCACCACCAGTTCGAAGTAGGCTAACAGTGGCAAGTGCGGAGGGAGCAATTCATTCCTTTACTTCTATTTTCTGAACTACATTGATGAATCTTAGTTAAGGGCATCAATTTATTGCAAGGATGAAAGCATATTTGGAACATATTTCATTGTAAAGTTGAGAGTATTCAGCTGCTAAAGGCATTGTTGTTGTTTTTGTGATTTCAGATGCACAGTACATCACCTGCAGGATGCAAAACTGCTCTGAAGCTATAAGAAGTAAACCTTTTCCAGGATACATTGACTCTGACTCCCTCATTGTCCAGGATGATTATGTGTTTGTTCAGGTTTGAACAGCTTTTCCACTGATTGATTGCAAATCATTTGTCCTCCTTCCTTGAATTTTAATCTGCCTTCCCTCACACTTGCAACAAAACAGATTGCATGAATGCTCCATTTCAGTGCATCGAAGCCAAGCATTGGTCCCATCGGGATGCTAATTGTTTCCTTCTGCCTCTACCTCAAGTACCTTATCAACGCGGGGGTCATGAGGGGTTTTGCCTGGAGTGTGCACAATGTGTACCGCAATAATCTACCTTGCCAATCAGCCAACCTCATATTTTATTCCAAGAGCATCCTTCCATCTCACCAGGTTTTTAAGTTTGTATGCCAGATTCTGATATCACAATTGCAACAGAACAATCAAGTTTTTTTCTATTAGTTTGAGCTCGGAGTGTAAGGGGTAAGGGAGAGAGATGGAAGGGGAGTACTTGAGAGGAGTAATCAGGCATGATTGTCATGCATGGGCTATGATTATTGCGAAAAGGATGAAGATGAGATATATTCAGCTGAGCTGTGTTCCAGGTGAAAGCCAGAGAATATATCTGAACAGTTTCAGGTTTCATTATCCTCCTGCTGCTGTCCATTTCATAACAAAGAGAAAGGAAATAAAACGCAAGCAGAGTGGAGATGTGCTATAAATTATCTGGCTTCCAACTATTTCATGAGGTTCTGAGGTCTCTGATTTCTGACCTGGGATTATACTGGGAGTCGTGGCTGTATTGCCATACTGTCTTACTTGTCTCTCCCAGCTATAAGGGTAAGCAGAATTTGACCTAGAATTTGACTCCCCCATAGCACCTGCCCACCCAAAGAAGAACTTTTGCCAGCCCTCCTGTCTATTAAAAGAGCACATATACATTGTCTTGCTTTTTTCTTGCACAACAAATTTACCAAGTGTCATCCATTGTTACCCATACTGTTAAAAGTGTAAATTCCATTGCCTGTTACAGACTAAGCTGATATTCAGTGCTTTTTCTAGGAAAATAGGTGCCGGTACTCACAATGAAGTTGTTAAAGTAAGTGCCACACTTTTTAACAACAAAAAGAGGTGCCGGTATTGAATACCCTTTTGTACTCCTGGAAAAAACAACAACCCACTGCTGATTCTATTTAATATGGCAGTCATCACCCTTGTTGTTAATGTATGATGATGACCATTCATTTTTACTCATGTTACTCAGTGTAAGCTACTGAGTGTCACTTTTGTTTTGTCCTAAACCAATTTTGAGGGGACAGTCTGTTTCATTGGCTTAGTTCAGGGGTCAGCAAATTTTTTCAGCAGGGCACTGGTCCACTGTCCCTCAGACCATGTGGGGGGCTGGACTATATTTTGGAGAGGGAAAATGAACGAATTCCTATGCCCCACAAATAACCCAGAAATACATTTTAAATAAAAGCACACATTCTACTCATGTAAAAACACGCTGATTCCTGGACCGTCCGTGGGCCGGATTTAGAAGGCGATTGGGCCGGATCCTGCCCCCAAGCCTTAGTTTACCTACCCATGGTTTAGCTGCAGCTAGCTTTCCTTTGTAGTTTAGAAGAAATTAAGTTTCATTCATTCATTCAGGTGTTGAAAACACAGATTGCTTTGAAACATGTAACAATAAGTGTTAAGCACTCTGCAAAATTCAGAGCACTTAGGTACACTTGAGACAGCTGACCAAAACTTTCAATCTGGTCTTGGGTTTGAAGGGGGCAGGGAGTTTTCCCAAAGCTGACACAAACATAAAAGGTTGTGTCATTATACTCTCAAGTCCTGATTGTTAGAAACTAAGAACAACTACCACTGACACGAGGATTACAAATGCTGCATGCTCAAATGAGGATTCAGAAGGCTGCTTCTAGGCACTTATATTTGCAGCTTTTCCTGTGCCCTTTTGTCTTTCTGTACAAGCAATCTGAATAGGTTAGGCCACTTAACGCTGTCAGTTTTCACTGCTGACAATCTGAATGATGCCTATTTTGTCTCCTGCTGTAACTGCAGTCCCATTTTTGAGCTGTCACTGCCGCAATTGCATTCCCCTTTCCAGCTTGCCTATTATTTTCTCCCTGCCTTTGGAAAAATGAAACAGTGATGATAATAACCTTGATAATAAAAGAAAACTATGTTATATGTTGCAGCTGACATCAGGAGGCCGGCCTCATTACTACGTGTCCTATCGGAGAAATGCATTTGCGCAGATGAGGCTTCCTAAGTATGCTTTGCCAAAGGTAAACTCTTATGCTCAGGATATTCATGCATGCGCTTTCACTTCACGGGTTTGACCAGCAGACTAGCATTACTGCTTTTCAGCAGCAACTTCAGAATTGGTTTAATTTGCACGCAGACCTGATTCCTACTAAAGAAAATATCCAAGCAGGGGGGGAAACATCCATTAAGGTCAATATTACAGCTAGCCAAGGACATCCATTCAAAATGCAGATTGACTTTTGAGTTGGTGGAAATTACTAATTAGGGTTTCATTTTAATCATTACTGACATCTGTGGTTTTCTCTTAAAATGTTTTTCCTTTTTCTTTGTGCCAGTAGCTCCCACATTTTGCTTTATTAATGTAACTTAATGGGGATTAAAGAACAAAGCGCCTTTGTGTGTTGGCTTCACATCTTCCCTAATTAAGAACAACGAAGCAGTGGAACCTAAAAGGATATCACTGCCTTCTGGAGCTAAAACTTGTAGAAAGCCCATGTAAAATATGTCAGTCAGGAGGAAGCAAATTTCACTTAGAACTTGATTTTAAACCACTACACAATCAAAACTCGAGGGACAGGGAAATTATTAAGGACTGCTGTCCTTCATACAAACCAATTTGTTCCATTATGTCACAAGCTGGAAATATGGCCTATGAAATTCCTTGCCAGCTTTTCAGTACGCAATGGTTCGTGGTCTCTTTGTTCAGGAAATGACACTGAGACATCTCCCTATGGAAATGTCAGCACCCTTGGCTCTCACTTTTATTTATTTGTTGTTGTTTTTTAAATTTGATTTCTTACCTTTCCTTCACCATAAGGCTTGGGAACACGAGGTTTCAAATAACCATTCAGCCACAAACACACTGGGCTACCTTTGGCCAATTACTGTCTCCTGGCCTAATGTACTGCACAGGGTTGATGTGAGGACAGAGGAGAACCATGTATAATATAACACTTTGAACTCCATGGAGGAAAGGCAAAATACACATGTAATAAGTAAATAATGGTGTTTTGCAATATATTGTAATGCAATTTGTTTTAATTGATTGCTTATTTTATTATAGGCTATTTTAACTAATACTGTATTTTTAAATTGTTGTAACTGCCCTCCGCTGGGAACCTCATGATGAGGGGTGGGTAAGAAATATAACAACAACAACAAACAACACACCAGGGGCCTCAAATTGGGGGCTTTGGCAGCCAAGAGACTTTATTCCCAGCGCCAGTTGCTGCAGATTTTACTTACCCACCTCCTTACCACACCTGACAACTACCAGCCCATCTTAAAACTATGTTATCTGTCTCTAGCTCTTGGTCCCATATCTGCCTGTTCCAGATTCTGCCTGTTGGCCTAATTGGTCCATGCCATTTGTTTCTGACCCCAGTGGGCCCTGATATCTAACATATAAGCAAAAAAGCAGGTCAGTTATGCAGGCATTGCAAAATCTAAATGTTGATAGAGGGAGTGTATGGAAGAGGATGGTGTCAATGCAAGTATAAGAGGAATATTTTGTTCTAAAGCAGTTGCATAGACTTGCACATAGTTTCACTAGCAATGGGGACCATGGATGATTACTAATTACTGTTTTTACTTACTCTTTTACATGACTTTATGGATGGTTGTACATCTTTATGTACAATTCTTTTTGTGGAGAAATTGCCTATTAAACACAATATGCAAAAATGCTGATGAATTTTCATGAGGACTTATGCTTAAAATAATAATAATAATAAATAATAATAATGTAAATTGGTGTGGAAATGTGGAGAACTGAACTTAAGAAGAGTGCTGGAGTTGGGATGGGGACTGAGAGAAACCAAAACTGACAGATTCACCCATCCCAGCTAGCTATACAGCAAGCTATATTTGTGGAGAACAGGCAGAAAAGTTGAAGTAGCAATGAACACCTTTCCTGTATATGTTGTGAGTCTGTTCCTTCTTAAGGATTCCCCTTGGCTTTCTAGCTGGATTCATGTTTTTAGGATTTATCCTGTTATTGGACAGAGCATAATATATTAGCTTCTCCCATTCCTTGTAGAAATTGCTCATATTAAATAGTTCCCAAGCAGCTTCCACTGATTTCGGATGTCAGTTGCCTTAACAAGCCCCAAGAGGCCTTCCTGTCCCCCAGCACAAGACACAGATGTTGTTGAATCCACCGACAGGGTGATATTTAAGGCAACAAGGTGCTTCATTACAATCTCACCATATCTTCAAAGGGTGAACATCTAAATCTGTATGCACAGAGCTACAGTGGTAAAGGCATGTTGAGGATGCTGTTATCAAAGCAGGTGGCTGCCTTTATTAAAAATGAACAAAGCGCAGCACAGTCAAAAGGAAATGAAACAAGCAAGGTCCTTTATGACTAGAGAGACTTTAATCTCTTTCAGCTCAATTACTCTGCCCAAATAAAATCAATGGCGTGTAAAGCTTTTCTTAGAGACCACAGTAGCTTGTGGAATTTTGGTACCCAGACAAAGTGGCTCGATCACTAGATTCTCCACCTTGATATTTCTGCTGCTTTGGGTGAAAATAAATGGTAAAATCATGTGCCTCTGATGCAGCGATAGTGAGAATGATTCATATTAAACATAGAAGAAACCTGCAAATTTCATAGAAAAGGAACAGTTTATCAGTTTGGCGCAACTGTAGATGGCTTTGCACTATTGTTACTCTTTTTGTGTTAGTGATTTTGAATCAGTTGTGATCAGCATAATGACTGGTATATTTGGTTTCCAGCATATTGCTTTGTGAGTGTTTCTATCACCTCCACAAACACTGTGCCTACCGGACAAAGCACGTATCTGGAATTTCTCTAGGGACAGAGATCAGACAAATTAATTTACTATCAGACCATTGTTGTGGCAAATAACACAAATGGCCCAGGCATAATTCAACCAAACGTTAAAAGATAGAACAAAATTAATCCAGCAGGTCTGTACGTGGACCAACTCTAGTGGTCCATCATTACAGCAGTCAACTGTGTTATTTGCAAAATGTCTCTGGCATTCTCTACCTGCAGCATTTTGTTAAGGCTGCTTTATAATTATGCTTCCTTTGCCAAGTATGCATATTTATATTGAATTTTAGAGATACAAAATGAGTGGATGGAAAATAGATTGATGGAAGATATAAGGTATTTAGGTCAACTCCAAGCTCTAATTTTAATGTCTGGGGTGAAACTCTTCCCATAAACTTTGATGGACGTTAATTGGTGCAAAAGTGTTTGCCAGTGATTACAGTGCCTTAGGCATGGAACTTTCCTTTGCCAGGGTCTGGGCTGGTCCAATTTTATGGATATGTGTTGTTGACTTTTTCATTAGAAACTAGGGCTGGGAGGATAGCATCTGAATATTCTTACCATAATGAATAGGTGCTTCTCTTAAAGGTAAAGGTACCCCTGCCCGTACGGGCCAGTCGTGTCCAACTCTAGGGTTGTGTGCTCATCTCACTTAAGAGGCCGGGAGCCAGCGCTGTCTGCAGACACTTCCAGGTCACGTGGCCAGCGTGACGAAGCTGCTCTGGCGAGCCAGAGCCGCACACGGAAACGCCATTTACCTTCCCACTATAAAGCGGTACCTATTTATCTACTCGCACTCAGGGGTGCTTTCGAACTGCTAGGTGGGCAGGAGCTGGGACCGAAAGATGGGAGCTCACCCCATCGCGGGGATTCGAACCGCCGACCATACGATCGGCAAGTCCTAGGCACTGAGGTTTTACCCACAGCGCCACCCGTGTCCCCCAGGTGCTTCTCTTACGATCTGTGTTAACCAGCAGCAGTTTTCCTGATGGGGCAGAGCTGCAGCATCCTGCCACTTACCAGGAGGGATCTTCTTTCCTCTGCTTTTGTTTCCCTTCCCATTTCTTATAGTACTGTACTTCTTAGATTAGTCTTTTTGTTCTTTTTAACATAGCCATTGTGAAGTGCTTTGGGGTTCTTTAAGACACTTAGTAGATTGTTGCTGTTGCTGTTCTTTATGGCTGGTTATAAGGCAATGAGCCTGCCTCCTTTTCCTGTGCTTATATAACATTCGGCACTCCAGCCTGGTGAAAGGAAGATAGATTAACCTATGGAATCTATTATTCTCTTCTTCTTCTACATAGAGAGAGATATATCTTATGCATGTTGATTAAGCACACTTATTAGTGCAGTGTGTGAAATGTTTGCACCCTCACAAGCTATTTCTTAGGAAAAGTGATGCCCAGCTTTTCTAATCTCAGAGAAGCCTTCCACATCTGTCCAGCTGCTGTGAAACTCCTGCATGTTTCAGAGGGCTGTGGAATTCAATCAGATTGTACTGGGTGGTCAACAGTGTGGTCAACATTCCCCCAAAGCTACAAATTTTAGGGGGGGGGGATAATTGTAGACAAGTAATTTGTCCATCATTACCTTTCATACTGTGAATTCATGAACACCTCAAAACTGCAGTTTAAAACAGAAAATGTAGCCGTTCATCTACAACTGATAAGAAAAATTGGATTTCATTAATAGGTTGGTTTTTTAAAGGATAGAAGTGATGCATGATTCTGTGCATTGTTTACAGAGCCACCAACCAGATATAATTGATATAATTGCTCTACCTAGGTAGCAATGTGATGAATTGAGACTGAGTACATTCTAAATGAATCTACCACAATATACAATTTCACTCCTAATACCTGCCTTTCTCTACTGTCATTCAAGCATGTTTATCCTTGTTGGGTAGTTCTGCATTTTCAGTCTCCAGCCTATGCCCCCTCTCATCTTTCTGAACTTTGCTATCCCTCCAGATCATTTTTATGGTCCCGGGTTCTGTGATGGTGGAAAGACTCTGTGCTCCTCATTCATTTTTAATCATTGAGCTAGCAGGTCAACAGGACCTAACACCCTATAGAGCGGGGAGGGAAACCCAGCAATGCACACTATAAATTAGCTGACAGCATCTTCAATCAAGATAACAAATCAGATATTGCATTTATGCCATTCAATTTGCCAAAAGGCCAAGATCCCCTGGTCAGCTGAGAAAAGGGCACTTGCAGCATCTTGGCAATTCTGAAAGCATTGACCTTTAGCCCTTCACATTCACCCAAACAAAGTCATGTGCATAATGCCGTTCTTTCCCTGTAAAGACATAAAGTATAAAGGCCAGACAGATGGGCTGCATCTTAATGCTGACTATCCTGCAGTGATACAGACTGGGGAATTCTGAAGGCTGGTGTTTTGATGCTTTTGTAGGCAGATGTATGGGAAAGGTGTCACGGCCAGTGTCAGGGGGCATTCACTAATTGGAAGACAGCATTCCCTCCTGTTCTTTCCAAAGGCAAGAGGTGTCTTTATTTCCCATGGAAAAGGATGGTGGTGGTACAACTTCCCTCTCCATCCCCCTGTATTTAGCTTCTCTTTGTCAGCAGGAAGATTGTTTCATGGTATGATTTACCCAGTAGAAATAACAGGCGAATTACTGTGTCTGACACAAAGAAGAAGGGACGCATTATGTGGTGCATCTGAGTGGTATTTGTTGCACACGACAAGTTTGCTGACAATTCCTCAGTCTGGCAATATATAGACTGAATAAAGAAGGGAGGGAGGAATGGCGGGGTGGGGAACCACAATGTTTACTCAAAGCAACCAAGAATACAAAATATCTCCTGTCTGAATACAGAGTGGAAGAAGCCGCCTGGTTATCTGCAAGTTATGAATACTGAACTGGCATGCCTACGAGGATCTCTCCTCATGCATTTGCCATTCCAGTCTCCAAACCCTGTGTTAGCAGATGACTATTTTAAAAATGTCAGGTTGGCTATTCCTAAACCAGGCAATGGCATCTGATCAATCCAAGCTGGAACTTGAATGGCAGGCTGCCAATGAAATCTGAATAATGGAGGCAAAAGTCTAGAAGGAGATTTCTAACAAGACGCACCTGCTTAATAGCTGTGCCCCCTGGCCACAAAGCTCTGCACCGTTATTCCTATAGTTGGGAGGGCTGACTGGGTTTAACCAATTGCAGTATCCAATAGAAGTTTCGATGCCAGTAAATGTAGATAAAGAGCTTTGTTGCAACTAGTTCAATGATGCAAGTCTTATTTTCTCTTTTTCCTTTAATTGTTCCATGGAAAGATTTTTATTTCTGGATTTTTAGTCATCATTTATTTGTTAACGTTTGAGCTGCTAGAAAAATAGGTTAAGGTCATCTGTGTTTAAAATGCAGATACGTATTAATTAGACACCGAGGACAGACGTGTATGTCTTGGAACAGCAAAATGCTACCGTAGCATTAGTTTGGGGGGCTTTCCTGCAAAAATCTTTATGAGGTACAATAGTACAAGAAATTAAAGACATTGCTTTGCAAGTATCCACATAACCAATAGGGGACTGAAGCAGCACAACAGTTAATCTGATCTGCACATTTTATTTTAACAGCAAACACATATTTATTTATTTATTTATTTATTTATTTAAAAAAATGAGCTTAGAAAGTCAGACATTTAAAGAATTCTCAAGTACATTTAATATGCTGTTTGACACTGCTGGATTTACAGATTTCACAATTACTTGGTCATGTGCAACCCAGTCCTGTACATGCTTACTCATAAGGAAGCACCATTGTGTCCAGTCTGCAAGTGGATGCTAGAATGCAACCTCATTGTTGGAATCATCATCATCCCTACTGTTTTAATTCACCTGGAATGATGCACAGATCCCCTTTCCCTACATATCTAGGTTTGAGTATGGTATTACAGGGATAAGCACATGATTACTTGACTGCCTATGTGGCATTGCTCAAACTGTGGCCCAGGAACCTCCAGCCAGGCCTCAGTGTTGCAGCCTGCCCCCTAGTAGTGCAGTAGCCTTTAGGTTTAACTGACTCTAGAGGCAGCAGCTCCCCACACATGCACGCTACATAGGCATGACTAGGAGCAGCAGTTAGTTAGCAAGTGAAGCTATAGCATGCAAAGTTGGGTGAGGGGTAAGGAAAGGAAAGAGCGGATATGAGCAATGTGGCTGGCTGAGTGTGAGGAAAGAGAGAGAATGGCAAGGAGGGAAGCAAAAGGGTTGCATAGACTGAGGGAGAGGAAAATCAGAAGCCTTTGGGACTGCTGTAGAGTCTTCTGGCTCCTCCATGTCACATTTGTGTATACCTACACCCTGCTCATCCTTTATTCCTGCTCAGTCTCCTGCTGAGGCATGAAGCTTCTCTTCCCTCCACTGAGGCAGAACAACTGGTGGGGACATTGCAGGAAATACAATGGGGGTGTATATGGGAGATAGAAAGTCAATATTTTTAAAGTTGTATTAATAATCTCAGAACAGAGAAGAAGGTTGTAAAAGAGGGAAGCCATTTTAGGAAGAAATGAATGTAAAAGGCACCAAGAGGAGGGATGGAGGAAATTGGTTGTTTAGAGGTAGGGCTAGGTTTGAAATTATATATGAAAGGAAAATGAGAAGTGGGGGGAGGGGGAGGGGGAGGGAAATAATATTAGTAATAATACTGTGAGAGGCATGCAGGCATTCGGTGTCTAATTTTTGACGACTTCTACCCTCTAGATCCTCTGAATCAGCAAATTCTGCCTAAATTGGGGAGGGTGAGTTAGACTATCTCCAGAAACAATGCATCCTATTAACTTGAGGAAAGCTGAAGTATATAACTTGTCTCCACTGGGAAATCACTGTGGCAAAGATTTTAGCAATTTCCCAAAGACCAATTAGGTCCCATCAAGAGAAAATAATGTTAGTAAGCTACTGCTGGCTACGGCAGTTGCCACCTCCATGTTGTTGCTGACTCTGCTCTTGCACCACCATTTTGTGAGTGAACCAGCTCGCAAAAGGACCCTGGACATAGAAAGTTTGAGAATCCCTAGCCTATGGCATTTCCTTTACCATAATGAACGGTGGTTCCTAATTGAAGAATTTTCTCAAACTGTTGAAGGACAGAAAGGAATTAATATTCTACGTTTCTTTTAATACACTCATCCTCCATTGCTACTGTACAATACCATCACCAGTGTAAATGTTCACTTAATGTGTCCTCAATTCATTATTACTGTGCATATATCTGAAGAAGAGAGAATGTGTAAAATATGCATGTGCACATGCAAGTAGATTGACTTTGGTTTCTGATTAGACTTCATAATGAATCTCTGCCTTCCTCCACGAGGCTTACCCTGCCTTGCCCTTGGAGCAGAGACAAGTGAGATGCCCGACAATGATGCTTCTCTCTGTGCTTTCTCCCCCAGGACATGCACGTCATCAGCACTGATGAGAATCAGGTGTTTGCTGCAGTCCAGGAATGGAACCAGAACGATACGTATAATCTCTACATCTCTGATACCCGAGGGGTCTACTTCACCCTGGCTTTGGAAAATGTCAAGAGCAGCCGAGACCTGGAGGGCAATGTGATGATAGACCTCTATGAGGTATGTGACGATAGGGCACATTGTCACCTCTAGTTTATGCACACACAAAAATCCCCCACTAAGGCTGGGGTGCCCAGTGTAGCTGGACGTTTCTGTGGGTGCAGAATGTGTTCTCTTTCTGACAAGAGTTGGGTAAATCATGTTGCACAAGGGCCACATTCATCTCCACTCGTAACTGCCTTTCCCAGTGAAGAGGTGCTAAAGAGAAGCAGTATCCTGAGTTTCACCAAGACTTGAGGGTGCACGGTCACAGCTAGGTTCAGGGATCTCTCTGGCATAGATTCTAAAAAGGAAAGGAGACAAGTTTCTGTCTGGGCTAAAGAAGAATTCTGACTCCTGCAGGCATCTTTGGAGTTGGAGCAGCCTTGGAAAAGAGCAGCATGGAACACCCTTGTGGAGGATTGCAGAAAGCTTAACAAAGTGGAGGTGTCCCTTGAGCAGAATACTGAACAAAATGGGGACTGAGAAGTACACAGCTATAGAAATTAGACAGGCATTAGCTCCAATACAAAGGGTGATTTCGTTAAGGACAGGGCTGGATAGAACAAGATCAATAAATGACATTGGGTGGTATCTAGAAAAATAGTTTAGCTGGATATTGCCCAAAGAGCGATCTGCCAGTAGATTTCACAATGTAATTTTCCCACTAGAAAGAAGACAGGAAGTTACAAGGGGTCTCTGGACAATCAGAACTTGCAGTCAGGTGACTGAAATGCCCCTTATGAGGAAATGTGAAAATATTTACCAAGAAACATCAATATGGACCAATTACCCATGGGAAGATGCTTGCAAGAGGCTGCATCCATTACTGACCTGAGTTAATGAAAGCTAAATAAGGGTGCCTGCTTGCATTATATAGGATAGAAATTATGGGAACTGATTAGGCTTGCACTTTCATAATCATAATTGTGCATATTGGGTATTGCAAGAAAAATCCCCTGCATAGCAGTGACTATGGAGAGAATATTTGGTGGGAATAATAGGAACTTCCCCTGAGAGAAGTATACTTAACTTGAACTGCTGTATCTCCGTCTGATTACCTGCAGTAGTGCTAAATGCATTGCTTTGAGCAAATCCAAAATAACCTCATAGTCCCAGGGCATGTACAAAATTCCAGTCGAACTGAGCCTCTCACTTTTGAGGACCACTCTCCTTTCTAGACAATAGCCTTGGACTTCTGCATTCTTCCATATCAACTATCCTTTATGTGGACAGCCAGTCTGTATAACAGAGGAAGTTCCACCTCATAGTCAGGGATGTTCAGTTACTGAGAACTTGCACTCAGGAACTGCATCAAGACTCCAAAGTCAAAGGGTAAACTATCTCCAACTGTTACCATTTTGAAACACGTTTGACTTAGGAGTGAGACTGGGGGCAAACGTTTTGCCAAGCTTTGAGTAAAACCACCAGGCGCTGGATAAAATTGTGCAAGGTTTCCATCTGACCACCCCTGCTCTATAGAAAAATGTGGTACAGACCGAAAAGCAGAATCCCTGTGGTGTCTACCTCAATGTGAAATTCCCTAGGTGGATTGACTTTGACTTTTGCACGTGACTTAGAACATCTTTTACAGGTAAGCACCTTGACACAACCATCGAGGAAGCCTGAATGGGCAATGTTTAAAAGCAGACAAAACTGGGAAGGAATAGTCATGTCATTTCCTGATCACACTGAGGATGATTTCTTTCTTTCTCCCCCCCAACCCCCCCCCCATTAATTCCCCCACCCCAAGCCTTGGCAGGCTGTTGAAAAGGCTGTTGCTTCCCATTACCATCAGGTTGAGGAGTGGTTTCACTGCATTATGTAAAAGTGTCCTACATCCCAAGAGGGGGAAGGAGGAGGGATCGAATGAAAAGCTTCTGTATTATTAGGCTGACAGTTCATAGCAGTCTGGATTGAAATTGATGTGATCAGACTGGTCATGTCGTATCTGCTGATTGCCTAGATAGAAAGAATATTGGCTGACACCAAGGCTGGCACAAAGCGTTCCCTTCAATCTGATTGTTCTGACTGGGGATGAGCTGAAAGCCATCCAGTGCAAGTCTCCCAACAGGATTGCAATGAATGATGAGTGCTTAGAGGTAAATGAAGATAAAGAAGAGATAGCAGGGAAGGGAGGGGGGATCCATGGATGGATTAGAAAGATGTAGAAAATAGAGGGGGGAAATCAGAGGCTGCATGGGTGGGGAAAGGTGGTGACAGTTCTAAAAATGCTCATGGGTATTCGTCAAAAAGCATCTTGTCCTCAGCCAGCCTACCCCAACCTCTTAATTATAATACATTTACTGTGGAAATTGATTTTTTTGATTATTATTTTTTTAAAGACAATTCCTGACCACAGGTTTACAATCTGAAAGACACAATACAAATGCAATGGAAAACAGAAAGCATCAAAGTCAGCCTTAAATACATTTAGGACCTTTCTACCATTTATGGTGGTGCAGTTTCCTGGGTTTGGATTTTTTGGAGTACTGCCACACAATGTTGCCATTATTCAGAGCCAGTGTGGTGTAGTGGTTAAGCGCGGTAGACTCGTAATCTGGTGAACCGGGTTCGCGTCTCCGCTCCTCCACATGCAGCTGCTGGGTGACCTTGGGCTAGTCATACTTCTTTGAAGTCTCTCAGCCTCTTAGCTGCTTTGAGACTCCTTCGGGTAGTGATAAAGTGGGATATCAAATCCAAACTCCTCCTCCTCCTCCTCCTCCTCCTCCTCCTCCTTCTTCTTCTTCTTCTTCTTCTTCTTCTTCTTCTTCTTCTTCAGCTGGTATACCAGAATAACATGCTCCAAACCCCACAAAGTAATGAAACTTCTGTGAAAGATCCAGAACAGAAGTTTGTGCAGGAACCATCCTGGTTTCTATGCGAAGGGGTTGGTGAGTGTGGTTTGGGAGATGGCTGTTTTGTGCCACTTCCCTCTGACCTGTGTGAGCTGTCAGGCATCTGAGCTGAATTCAATGAAGAGATATAACAGACAGAGCACTGCCTGTGATGGCAATTCCTAGCTGCCAGCAAAATCTCATCATGACTACCATAGTTTGCCATAGTTCCTTTTCTAATCTCCTATACTCCTACAAGATTAGAATTCAGGAATAAAAAAGGTAAAGTTAAAGGACCCCTGACAGTTAAGTCCAGTTACGAATGACTCTGGGGTTGGGTGCTCATTTCACTTTACTGGCCGATGGAGCCGGTGTTTGTCTGCAGAGTGTTTTTCCAGGTCATGTGGCCAGCATGACTAAGCCACTTCTGGCGAACCAGAGCAGCACACAGAAACGCCATTTACCTTCCCGCCGGAGCGGTACCTATTTATCTACTTGCACTTTGACGTGCTTTCAAACTGCTAGGTGGGCAGGAGCTAGGACCAAGCAATGGGAGCTCACCCTGTCACAGGGATTTGAACCACCGACCTTCCGATCGGCAAGCCCTGGGCTCAGTGGTTTAGACCACAGCGCCACCCACATCCCCTAGAATTCTGGAATCCTTGGCATTAAATAAATAAAAACTACAAAAGGGCTAATCCATGCACATGCTTATAACTCCAACAATTTACTGGCTTGAGGGACATGGAGGGTGTATACAGGGTGTGACTAAAGCCACAGAATTTTTCTGCTTTTGGGTTCAACCTATCATTAGTGTGCAAAGGAATGCTCTGCACTTACTCTCTAATAATAGCAACATGTGACCAAAGATGCAGACAATTAGCTGCAAATCCAGCTGCAAATCCATTAAAACATCAGGTCAAAAACAGCAACTGTACCACTCTAAATGGTGTGCGTGGGAAGGCCTTTACTAAGGAGTTGTACCTTCTTCCAAGTGAACAAGATAAGATTGCAGTGCATCTGTGCACTAACATTGCTGGAAAGCACTTTCCAAGGTGGCTTGTGCCTTCTCACTCCGAGAAAAGATTTATGACTAGCATCATAAAAGACGGAGTCACAGAAATTCAGAACATTTTTCTACCTGATATATAAAATGCTGTTTAGTCTTTCATGACTAGCGTCTCCCACAGAGAGAAGCATGAGAGCAAAGCGCAATTGTATCAAAATAACAGGAAAGAAAGTTACAAACAGAGTTTGGGCAGGGGTTGGAGCCAGTGGCGTAGCGTGGGGGGTGCAGGGGGGGGCCGGCCGCACCGGGTGCAACATCTGGGGTTAGGGCAAATCCACAGGTTAGGGGGCGCAAATCCACGGGTTAGGGGGCGCAAATTACTTGCCTTGCCCCGGGTGCTGACAACCCACGCTACGCCACTGGTTGGAGCACAGTACTTTTTGCCTCCTTTGGAGTACTTTCCCTTTCAAACTCACACCCTGCTAGACATGCACGCATTAGAAATTTCCCCAAGATTTCAGCATACAGTTTGAAAACGAATCTTGACTTCACTGGGGCTTGTGGGAGACTCAATAACTGCGTTTTGGCTTCCTTTCATCCTGGTGAAAGCAACTTGGAGGGAGGTTGAAGAAAGCAAGTCTGGTTAATGTAACCCCTCCTTATAAGTCATTCCGCAAAGACCAAGTTACAGCAAAGTTCAGAAGTACATAAGAACACAGGGAGCTCCCTTATACCAAGTCAGACCATTGGCCCATCTGGCTCAGTAATGTCTATACAGATTGGCAGTGGCGCTCCGGGATTTCAAGGGAGATGGTCTCACTTAGTTCTACCTGGAGATGCTGGGAACTGAACCCAGAACCTTCTGGATGCACAGGACATGCCCTGCCATTGAACTGTGTCCATCTCTTTTGGCATTTCCTGACACTCATGTGTTACAAGTTCCTTTGGGCTGCAATAAACGAGGCTCCACACCACCATAATGTGTATGTGATAGTTTCAACCGCATCTTGCATTCCTACTGCTTAAAAAAAATGTCCCCAAACTCCTGCTACCATACCTGCCATTGTTCAGGACATGCACACAGATTGCATGTTCATAGGCATACTCTAAGTATAAATTATAACATCGGGGGCGTGTGTGTCCCACCTCCTGCCTCTACGCTGCCTGCCTCATGTGCTAAGAAAGGAACTGCCCCCATTCAGCTTCTATTTGTGTTTCTTCTTCAGATCGTCATTAAGAACCGAAGTTAAAATGCAAGTAACTTTTCCTGCTGCTACAATACTTTGCAGCTGGGTGCCAATTAAATAATAACAGCAGAGAAGAAAAAGGCCCCTTGGGTGACATTATGTATCAGTTCTTGTACTCCCCTGCCAAGGGAGCAGTTCGTGTTGCAGGAACCAGAAACACTCTGCTGAAAGACAAAAGTTTTAGCCCTCCCCTCTCATCCTCCTGCAAACCTAGCAATTGGCACAGTGACAGGTTGTCTGTCATGCTGCTGTAGATATTGTGCTATTGATTTCCAGCACATAGGGAAAGCCAGACCTGTTTGACAAAGCAAAGCTGTTTCTCATGTTGCTTCTTGCATCCCATTCAGTTTTATTTAGAGCTGAACAAATTGCCCTTTTCAAATTTGTAAACCATCTTTGTGTCTCTTCCGAAGCCCTTGAACTTGCTTTTCTTTCCATTTCATTAATTTGAAGTTTAGACCTAAGGGAGCTGCTTGACGACGTGACTGCTTCCGCAGGGAAAAAGAGAGAGAGAGAGCAGGAACAACATGTGTTTCTGGCCAATGGCTTCACCGAATTGTTGAATAATGGAGCTGGAAGGGAACTTGCAGGTCATCTAACTCAACCTCCTCCACAGTGCAGAATCTGCAATGCAGGAGGCAACTACAGCAAGCCCTTGGATGCTGTGGGTAGCCTTTTAAAGGAGGATCAGACTATGGAAGATAAGTCTATCAAAGGCTTGGTGGTGAATAGTTCTGAGGCAATATTCTTCCATTGCTAGGGAAGGAAAGGCTATCTGTGCCCTTTTCTGGGCTTCCTAGAATAGCTATCTCACAAAACAATATGGTGGCAGTCTGATCCAGCAAGGCAGGAACCTCCAGGAACCTCCATATTTGCTTTGGCTTCTTCTCTAGTAGCAACTGTAAGAGGGAGCTAATCACACACACCAACCAACTACTGTGTCTTATATGGTACAACCAAAAATTTCCAGGGACTTAGCTAAATTAAGGAAATTCATAGGAGACAAATTGCCCAGCTCCTTCCTCCTACAGCCACATGTGTGCTCTAAACAAGCTAAGTGAGCCTCCTGAAGGATGTGAGATGAGGTACAAGGCTACTGGATGGGGAACTTTCATGAACTTCCTTAACATCACTTACCTTAGGACTCAAAGTATTAAAACTTTGGACCATTTCCACCTTTGCTGGCAACCCCTTGTACCCCACCCGGAAAGGAAGTTGCCCTCCACAAGGCACAAGGGGGTGCAAGAGTCAGAAGGAAATGGGGAACTTTCATTACTTGAGATTCATTCAGTTAACTTACCATCATATCCAGACTATTATGTTCCCATCTTTGTTTCATGACTTTTCATTGCCAAAACCCTCCCTTACAGTGTCTGAACTTTGAATCCACAGTGGTGTCTTATGTTATTCCTTTTCTAGCCTGTGGTTTATAAGGCGGCCTTTGATGCATTTTTCACCCAAGAGTCTGCTGTATACTCAGGCTATACACCATACCCCAAAGCTGGATTTGACAGGTAACAATGCATGCACAATCTGTGTCAAATTTATCTGTTTTTCAGCCATGCCAATTTTTCCTAGGTAGCAGGGATAAAGGGAATGTTCTTGGCTAACAAGAAGATTGACAACCAAGTGAAAACTTTCATCACCTACAATAAAGGAAGAGACTGGCACTTGCTACAGGCCCCAGACACAGATCTGAGAGGAAACTCGGTTCATTGCCTCCTGGTAAGTGAAGGTTTGTGGGGACAATGGGGCAGGGGATGGCTTTTTGTGACAACAGAATGACATGATCCATTAAAAATAAATGCATCTTCCTCCAGGGTTGCCTCTTCCCCAGTAGTACATACTATGTGAAAACTCCATTATGGAGGTTTCTAGCATCTCTGGAATGAGAATCAAGCTGTTATTGTATTTAAGGGGGGAGCATGTGCATTACTGAAACTTTTCCCTGATGCATTCAGTTTTGGCAATATAGGATGGACTTTGTGCCAAGTCAGAACACGAGATGGCAAGAGGGAGTTCTTTGTAGGTGCAAATGGGAGACAAATTGGATATTTGTATGCTTAGATATCTTAGGGTGACCCTGGTGCGAATAATAGTACCAGATGATGATATGGAAATCTACACAATAACTTGTGGTAAAATGTGTGACTTCTTGTCTCATAATCTTATTCTCTCTAAAAAGGATATGTAGGACCTTTGCTTAAAATGGAAACAAATACAGTGGTACCTCGGGTTACAGACACTTCAGGCTACAGACGCTTCAAGTTACAGACTCCGTTAACCCAGATATACATAGTACCTTGGGTTAAGAACTTTGCTTCAGGATGAGAACAGAAATCATGCTTTGGCAGCGTGGTGGCAGCGGGAGGCCCCATTAGCTAAAGTGGTACCTCAGGTTAAGAACAGTTTCAGGTTAAGAACGGACCGCCGTGAATGGCTGTTCATGACAGGCTGTATATTTCCCTTTTCTCCAGTCACATGCACCTCACTAACTCATTTCAGCAGACCAACCTAATTAACACCTCTTGGACTGTCCCAGTGCCCTGCTGTCAATCCAATAGTGAAGATGCACTATCAGAGCAATTCTGTATGGTGATGAGTTCAAATATTTACCCCTAACCCCGAGAAGGACAAGGAAACCCACCTGGACTCTTGCACTTTAAACAGCTCACAACAATCTGGGACCAGAGCAAGTGCCATAGCATTGCATATGTACTCTAGGCAGATATTTGAAGTTATTGCATAAAGGGCAGAATGCCTAGCTTACTCTTGATTATACATGTAAAGATTAGGATCAGGAAAATGAAGCTGAATTCTGTAGAGATGTGTCAGCCTTGCAAGACTTCTCTCCCCACATCTACTTTTCATTTCTCCTAAAGTTTCTTGGCTAGTCTGCGCTTCTTTGCTCCTTCACCCGATCAGGATTTGTCTGCCATCTTGTGGTCCTCAAGGGTACTTAAGAAGGAGAGGGTAGAACTTTTCCTCCAACATATACATAAAGGGTCATCATATTGCGTGGAAGTCTGTCAAATGGCAGGTGTAAGAGATTCAGAGAAGACCGCGAAGATAGGGCAGAGAATTCCCATAGGCCTCAGAGAGGAGGAAGGGGAGCAAAACACGCCAGCAAAAGTTCAGCTTGTGCTGTGCCCATCAAAGCAAAGTAGGGGAGAGTTGTGTTAAACTTTTACCCTGTAAAATACAGCAGCAGTCTTAAACCGCCCAATATGAAAGTATTAAGAGGAGAGAGACTGAGGAGGGAGTTATCTCAACTGGGTTGCAGTGCTGAGTAAATTACTTCAAATTGCTCATGGTTTAAACATGCCAGGGAAGTGGTGGTGTGTATGAGTTTGGTTTTTAAAGATGTGTTTCCCAGCTTGCCCTTTCAGAATAGATAACATTATCAAGGCACATAAGTCTTCATGCCTTTTGCAGATGCTCTTCAGCCCACCGAGTTTGCTGCTTTGTAACATCCCTAGTTGGATTGCTACAATGTGTGACCCTTACAAGGCTGTCAGTTACTGTTATGGTGTTTGGAATATTGTTCTTGTGTAGTGACAGGCTCATTCATTTGATTCTGCTCTGCTCTGCTTGCTTGCTTGCTTCACCCCCATCTCTTTTGTGTTGCCTTTTGTGACATCAACAAGAGATCACACCCCACCTCCCAGTGCTTGGTATCCTACTCACCTCTTGGCAGCACACGCCATATTGACTTCACCATACTGAAAGCCTCTCTGAAGAGGCATAAATGCTGAAGAACATGAAGAACACTTTTGTTCCCAGGGGTCTCACCTTGCATTGGGCAGGCGGGGGAATGAATCATCTGATACAAAGCTTGTTGGCATTTAGTGGTAATCTGCTTCCCAGTGGCTTTTGCGGTTATTTATTAACTGAGTAAATAACAGGTTGGGAAGTAACCTTGGTAGGCCTTTTGCATGTGTAGCCACTGAGATTGTTTTGATCTTTGAGGGATTATGCTAGCCTCTGGAGAACATTACAACCCCGGGCATTAGGAATGAAGAGGATATGCCCTTGTTTTTATTATTTGCATTCACTGTTCTCCTCTTCCTGCCACCTGCTGCCAGCAACTGCATGGAGAGATGCTACAGATTTTGTTTAGTTAAGATAGAGCTTTGCTGTGTGTTGGGAGAAAGATAGCTGTTCCCTCTCTGTAAAATAATAATAATAATAATAATAATAATAATAATAATAATAATAATAAAGCATCACTGGAAGCAGGAAGGTATCCCTCTGTTTGCTCTCTGAATCTAATGTCATAAGTATATTTAAAAACAAGCAAACAAGAACTAAGAGGAGACCTGCTATTAGGCAGATGGTAGGCCAGCCACTTAGGTTGCAGATGTCGGGACAATAGCACCAGTGCCGTGCTGGTGACAATACTTATACTGGGCTGGCTACTTTACCTGGCTGCCTTCTCCCACTGTGTCACAGACCATGCCATTGAGAAAGGTCTCTGACTGAGCAAACAGGCAGGCAGGCAGGGAGGCAAACAGCTCAGGCCAAACAGTTCATCAGGCACCATTCATTCATTACTCTGCTTATATCCATTTGTTTAAGCAGGCAACCAGCAGGTGCCAGGTGGCTTGGTGAATCAACAGGGACAGATGTTCTAGAATCATGGAATTGTAGAGTTGGAAGGGACCCTGAGGATCATCCCTGCAATGCAGGAATAAGCAGCTGTCCCATACAGGCATCAAGCCTGAAACCTTGGTGTTAACTGGACCATGCTCTAACCAACTGAGCTATCCAGCCTGTTGGAGGGCAAATCTCTGTGTGGGATGCCCTTCACCCCCTGTGGTAGCCTGTCATCCCCAGGTGTGTTGGAGGACCTGGTCTGGTCAGCTTCCATATGTAGACTAGAATGCTAGGTGAACGGGCATCACCTTGACTTTTGCTCTGGTCTTAGGCTGGCAGTGGTATATTGTTTGATAGGGCAAATACCTCTTTCTGGTCTAAACTTAAAATTTTAAAACAATAGCTAACACTCATGAGATGAAAAGGATTTTTGCTGTTGATTTCAGTGCAGTGAGAACGTTGCTTCAACACCAGCTAAAGGTCACATGTGAATGGCAGCAGGTGGATGTGGAGACATGCCTAATGGTTGCTGTGCATAGATTTCTTAGGCACACAGAGCCTTCACACACACACACACACACACCACACACACACACACACCCCTGTGTGTTCCTTTAAGGTGTTCAGGTAGGACATTGCCATAACGTTTTCCATCTTTGGCAAACAGCTGATTGACACAGTCACTGCTTTTAGCAGCTGCTGAATATGTGGAGCATCCTTAAGCCTATAACATGGTACATACAAGTGATTTAAGAACAATGGCTATTGTGGCACCTTAAAGACTTACTTGTGAGCTGGATTCCATTTCATCAGATGCATGGGGTGTGATCCTCAGTTGTCAGACACACAAACACACAAACACAATGGTGTAAAGGGAGGAAATGTAAAGTCTGCAGTTAAATAAGAGTGGAAATTTTAAAAAAGTACAGTTTGTGACAATTCAATTATAGCCTAAATGTATGAAAAATTATTTTTCTCAGTGACAGTTATTGGTCATCTTGCTTAATAAATCAAACAAAGTGCTTAGGGGATGGGAAGGAAAATCATTTTCTCCATTTAGACCCAAATGAATAAAACTGAACTTTTTAATAAATTGCAGTTTGGCAACTTCAAATTGGAGATTTCCTCTGAAGTTCCTTTGGAAAGTCTACCCTATTTCTATCTCTACTACTTACATGCATTTTCTTTCTTTCCCCCGCAAGCCCTATTGTTCCCTTCACCTACACCTGAAGGTTTCAGAAAATCCATACACTTCGGGCAACATTGCCAGTCGAGATACTGCTCCAGGCATCATTGTGGCTTCTGGTAGGAAATGTTTCAGAGTTCTATGTATATATGTTTACATCACTTTTTAGTCTGAGAGTTGAACTCTTCAAACTGCAATTAATGTGGAATCGTGGTCACAATGCTTGTAATCTCACCTCTGACACTAGAAGGCCTGAGCATGTCATAGTCCTTGGGTAGGCAAACTAAGGCCTGGGGGCCAGATCCAGCCAAATCACCTTCTAAGTCCGGCCCATGGACAGTCCAGGAATCAGTGTGTTTTTACATGAGTAGAATGTGTCCTTCTATTTAAAATGCATCTGTGGGTTTTTTGTGGGGCATAGGAATTCGTTCATCCCCCCCCCCAAAAAAAAATAGTCCGGCCCCCCACAAGGTCTGAGGGACAGTGGACTGGCCCACTACTGAAAAAGTTTGCTGACCCCTGTCATAGTCTCTCGCTTTCTAGTTCCTCACTATCATCATAGAATCATAGAACTGGAGGGTCATTTAGTCCAAGCCCTACAGTGCAGGAATTGAACGTCATGAAAACAGTACTGATTTATCTTACAGGTTTGTTGTCACCACATAGTGCACTTGAAACATAATGTTTGAAAGCGCAGTATAAATGCTTATCACCAGGATTCATTTACGGTACTAAATTGGCCGTGTGGTGTGGTTTTCAAACCAAAAATACACATTCTTAAGTTGTTAACTTCAGATAATTGTGGGGTTTCTTTTACAGGTAATATTGGAAATGAGTTGTCGGACAACGATATCAGCATGTTTGTTTCATCGGATGCTGGAAACACGTGGAGACAAGTGAGTAGCAAATGAAAACAATTGGCAGTGGAGGCCAGGTAATGTAAACTACTTGCAAAAAGTAGCTGTGCCGTGATAGGAAATCTGTAGCTCAGAGTTGCATGTGCCGCTCCTCCCCACCCCGGTCTAATTTCACATGGCTCTCTAGATGTTGCAGGCCCACTCCTGCTCTTTGAATTGCTACTCTGGGAATTATTTCTTGTTCTACATCATGTGTATATATGGGGGTGGGGTTTTTTTTGGGGGGGGAGATGTGTTTGAGTAGAAGTGGCTGCTACTCAGTGATGCAAGTTGGGATGAGGGGACCCTGCACTGAGTTGTAGAGTGAGGGGAGCTAGGCAGGTCTGTTGCACAAGGGCTGATGAGCATCACTGGTTCTGGTGGTGCTTCAGCCAAAAGTCATAAACAGCCAAATTTAGGTTAAATACAGAAGTTATCCCTGAATATGATTCAGAAAATTCTCACAGCCTGACTGAGACGCAGTCTTTGTGAACTCACTGTGCAAGTTGACTCAGTCTGTAGGAGTTACTCTTCAGTGCTCATTCAGTATTCATCTGATATCTGTATTCTCATGATATTTTCCTTAAGAGTCTTTCAACACAAGTCATTACATTTATATCCTCAAGATTTATGCGTTATGGAATTTTCTTTAAAAAAGAAAGAAAGAAAAGAAGTCGTAAGAACTAGAAATGTACTTTGTTTCTTCAAATGAAAGCTCAGTGTAGGAGTCTCAAGATGCAGAAATCTTGCCCAGTAGCAAATTCTCCACCTGCACAATGACTGTGTGGAACCTAAAAATATGCTCACCCCCAACAAAGGTCATTGAATTGAAGCCACTGCTACAAAATTGGAAGAAATGCAATCCGTCACCAGATCAGTTTGACATATTCCAGGACCCATGGGGAAGGTGAGATCCAAGTTCAGGGGATCATGCTCCCATTACTGAAGGAGCAGAATCATAATGAAGCAACACATTGGTTAGAAAAAAAATAACAACATAAATATAAAGTATGATGTAAATTCAGTCAAAGATTATCTTGTGAACAAAAAGGCAAACTCAGCCCTCCAGATGTTTTGGGACTACAATTCCCATCATCCCTGACCACTGGTCCTGTTAGCTAGGGATGATGGGAGTTGCAGTCCCAAAACATCTGGAGGACCAAGTTTGCCTATGCCTGGTCTAAATGGATGCTTCTTGTAATAACTGCTGCTTGCCAAGCTGTTTGGGCCTTTTGGGTACCACAGAAATTGACTAACCTGAAGGATATTAATTTTCTTCAGTTGCTATAAGAATCAGCCCCACAACCACAGAATGTTTAGCTGGTTTATGTCCTTGATATACCTTAACAAGTAACATTTAGCAAGTAAACTTAAGGCATTTTGTAGCTAATAAAACATCAACCGTATTAGGAGTAAGACTTCTGTATTTACAGAACACCTGTGTGCTACTCTTTTAAAGGCAATTTATTAGGGCTTTTATGAGTTTTCAAAGTGCTTGTGTAGATGGCCACCCTTGCACAAATCCTCATGAGAACCGTCAGGCAGCAGAGCAGATACTTCTTGAGCACCTTGGATGGCTTTGGGTTCATTTGCTTGGAATGTGTGTGGGGGAAAAATCTCAATTTTTTTGGGGGGGGGAATTCAGGGCTTGTACATTTTACATTTGATATTTTCTGTAAGAAGGCAATCTTAATAATAAGGGCTAAATTGAACAATCTTCCTCTCCAGATTTCATGTCAAGAGCTGTGACTCAAAACTTTTTACAAAGCCAAGCCAGAGCCACAACCTAGGGCTTCCTGCCCTTAGGAGCCAACCCCTAGGGCTGAGGTCTTTTGCCCAACCCCCCAATAAAAAATTTGAGAGGGGCGGGCCCCAACAAGGTTGATGGGCACACTTTGTGATTGATTATGCAGGGCAGGTCTTACCTGCTCCCCATGTTTTATTCAAGTGCCTTCATCTGATACAATTCTAGATGCTGTTCTTATCAACATTATAGCCAGTCCTTTTATAACACTACCATAATCTTTTATATCCCCTTTATAACATTACCACATTCTTAACAACCAAGCTACAGCAGGAACTAGGACGTCTAGGTGCTTAAATAAATACTTGCCTCTATTCTATTTTAATTCATTGCCTTTCCGGTTCTCTTGTTGATCCTTGCTCCTGCTCTTATTATTTTATGAGAACAGGAAAGTGCCATTCATTATTTACATTCCCTTACTCGCGGTAAAATATTCTTATTAACTTATAATGCAAGTCATACTAACTCTATTCCTTGGTTATCAGAGCCTTTGGAAAATATTGCAGATTCCACCACCATCACAAGATAATCAGTGAAATCAAGGCAAATAGAAACCTCTCCTAAAATCCAACAAAAGTATTAATTAGAAAGTAAATTTGACAGTGCAAGCCTATGCATGCCTACTCAGAAGTAAATCCTGTTGATTTTAATAGGACTTACTCGTAGTCTAAGGCTTTGCAATCCTAAGCACCTTTTAGAATAGGTATTATTTTAATTCAGTAGTACTTGCTTTTTGTTAAAATACAAAGCTGATATAGCTTAATAGCTATCTAATGCAGTCTTATCCAACCTAATGCCCTCCAGTTGTTTTGACCCACAACAGCCATCAGCCCCAGCCAACATGGGCAGGGATGATGGACTAGATAAACTAACAGTCTAAGGCAGTCCCCCCCCCCCTGTTTTTTCTTATGCTACATTTAAATAGCCCTAAATATCAGCCCCAATAAGCAGCACACATTTGGGGATTATTTTTCCCCCCCCAGATTTCATGAATACCCCAGCAGAAATCTGTCCACAATTGCAAATACAGTGGTACCTCGGGTTACAAACACTTCGGGTTACAAATGCTTCAGGTTACAGACTCTGCTAACCCGGAAGTAGTATCTCGGGTTAAGAACTTTACCTCAGGATGAGAACAGAAATTGCACGGCGGCAGCGGGAGGCCCCATTAGCTAAAGTGGTACCTCAGGTTAAGAACAGTTTCAGGTTAAGAACGGAGCTCCAGAAAGATTTAAGTTCTTAACCAGAGGTACCACTGAGGCCTTCAGGAGCCCTAGAATTGTGGCCTAAACACTGGAATTGCATACATTCTGGGAATAGATACAAGGGTTTATGGGTTCATCTTGAATTTCACAGAGAATGTCCAATCTTTTCTTAAATGCTGGGTGCAACAATGTTTCAGTCACTGGGCAGCTAGAGGCTAGAGGCTGTGGTCTTGAGAATCTGAATTGGGTCTTGCCAGATCAACCTCTGCCTTGTCTAGGTGGTCCATCAGACAGATCAGAGACAGTGAGAATGCCAAATGGAGCACCTTTCTTCTCCTGAAAGCATTAGCTTTACAGAGGTTCTTGGTTCTATAATCCATGCAAGGTTTAATATCCAGGCAAGAACACTCCCACAGTACTTAGGCATGATGTGCAATGTAGTGGTTTATTGTTCTGCACATCTGTGAGCCTATTTAGGATATGTCTCTCTCTATAAAATCCAGCACCTCCACTGTTCAAGAGATAAGGGGGGTGCTTTCAGATGCAGTCTCCAATCATTAGCATCACTGAGTGGAAAGTGAGAATAGCAGTTGCCATTTTGAAGGGCTATGGCACTCTGCTGACTTGACAAGTTACGCAGGTAACGAATTAAAGCTGAAACAGCATTTAACAAACCCTCTGGCAGGAACCCCATCCCCATCCTATCACGCCTTTTGTTACCTATTTTTGATATGAACAAGAGAATAAAAATAACATGCTAAAAATAACTCTGGCATTGATCCAGAAAGAGAGAGAAGTACAAAAGAAGAGCCTTGCTAAATAAGACTAAAGACTTATTTTAGTATTCCGTTCTCATTGTGGCCATCAAGAAGCCTGAAATCAGGTCATGAACTCAGGAGTAATGCCCTGATCATGAGGCAAGCTAACCACATCAAAGCCTGTTCCTGCTGGACTCATCCCCCACCCCCATGCCCCATGGTGCCACCTACCACTAGTAGAATCCGGGTGGCTTGGTACTTTTTATATTGTGAAATATAAATTTCACATAAATTACAATGGGATGAAATTCAATAGGATGTGTGAATTTCTTCTTTAAAATACCTGCTTATCAGTTACCATTCATAAGAACAACCTTCTGTTCATCTCTCACACAACTAGAAATTGCGATTTCCAAACAAGTTCTTCCTCTCTCTACTCTTTGTCCCCCTGCCTGAGTACAAACATGTAATGAGCTTTGGCAATCAGGTAATGAGATGGACAACAATGCATGGTTGTTGCACATCAGTAAATATGTTTTTAGTAAGTAGTTGGCGTTTAATTAAAGTGCAATAACTACCCTCGTAAAGTGGAGTCAAGTACATACTTAAGTGGAATTAACAAAGCAAAGAGTAAGTGCTGAACTGACAATAACTTAGCCTTCTAAACATATAATGTTGAGGGTCATTGCTAGCATACTGAACTCCAAATGCATTTATGTTTGCTGATTTAAAACATATACGATGTATAGATATATTTATTTATTGGGGGGGGGAGAGTTAATTCCTGAAAACCAAAGTGGTATCTCTAGTGAACAAGACCCTCTAGTGGGTCGAAGAGGAATTCCTTATCTTTCAGGTAAATCACCTTGAGCCTTTATTTTTGGAGAAAGGGAATACAAATAATGATAATACAGTGGTACCTCGGGTTACGAACTTAATTCGTTCCGGAGGTCCGTTCTTAACCAGAAACCACTTTTGCTAATGGCGCCTCCTGCTGGCGCACACCGCTGGCACACAATTTCCTTTCTCATCCTGGGGCAAAGTTTGCAACCCGAGGTACTACTTCCGGGTTAGTGGAGTTTGTAACCTGAAGTGTTTGTAACCTGAGGTACCGCTGTATCAGCATCAAAAAGGAAATCATTCTTGCCCACAGCACATGTTATTCTGAGTCCATATTTCTTGTTTCAAACAGCACATGCTTAAAGGCCCCATTTGTACTATATGTTTAGAACAGTATCATACCATTTTAAACAGTCATGGCTTCCCCCCAAAAATCTTGGGAGCTGTAGTTTGTTAAGAGTGCTGATTATTTAGGAGACCCCTTCCCCCCTCACAGTGGCAATTCTTAAGAGTGGTTTAACAGTCAGTCACACTTTCTCCCTGGAAATTTTGGTGAACATGTCTGTGATTTAGACCCCCTCAGAGCCTGGTGGTTGGTGTCATCTCTGTGGTTGCTTCCAATGACATTTCAAGACCTCAGTCTGTGTATTTACATAGCACACAAGCAAAGCACTTCCCAAGAAGCCAAGTGCCATTTGCATGCAAAGCAGAACAATGGGGGAGGGGGCAAAGATGGGGAACTAGCCTAAAGCAATGGGTTGTTACCAGCGATGATTACTGCTGCATCCAAGTACATGTGAAGAGGGGCTTGGATTGCAGCAAAATCCTGCAAAACTTTTCTAAGCTCAGTGTTTGTGTATTTGATATATTGAACCCTAGCAGAATCACAGAATAGACCAAGGCCGTTAGGAAGTCTTTTACTGATATGATTGCAAAACTGTGACCTATGTATCTCAGTGTTGCCTAGAAAGCATGTGTTCCCAGACTAAGGCAAGTTAAACTTAGTCCTTTTTTATGTATTTCTCCAGATCTTTGAAGAAGAACACAGCGTTCTTTATCTGGATCAAGGTGGGGTTTTGGTTGCCATGAAACATACGTCGCTGCCTATAAGACATCTCTGGTAATTACTGTAACTTCTCTGATCTCATTAGTCATGAAGTCCTTCATTATATATTACACGCCATTGGCAATCGGACCGTGACTAAATATTTTAACTAAGTGTCAAGATATGCCAATTAAGAAACTGACATGCTTTCTCTCTTGATTGCACTAAAGCTATTATTACAGTTTCACACACAAGATGTGCAACAGAGTAAACCCTTTAATGGTCCTATTGTCATTTGGGTTGATATTAAGGAGCTGAACTCCTTTACTTCCTCTGAGGTTTGGGAGTCTGGAAGCAAAAAAATTATTAGTAATCATAAACCCTTCCATCTTCTAATCTGACAAAGTTCCATATATTCTTTTTATATACATGATAAATCTACTGTTTAAGAATCCTGCAGGATATATGGATAATTGTAACCCCCTCCTACAGTGTTTTGCATTTATCAGCACTGTATTTGATCCATCTACCATTTTACTTCACATTCTTCTAATGCCATGAGATTATTTTGAAGACTCACACTCAGGCCACACTGCTTCACGTGGCATTCAGTATATGACGTAAAATCAATGCCCGCCCCATGGGAAATCCTTCTGTCTTGTAAAATGTAGCTCAAGTTCTTGAATCTGAGTCATTTTTGCCATGTACAGCAAATAGGTGGTTCCTTTTCTTTACATCTTCTTAAACAGTGTTTCCCCCCAAAAAAGTTGTTTTCCATTCGTGTTTTCATTAGGTTAAGTTTTGATGAAGGAAGGTCCTGGAGCAAATACAGCTTCACATCCATCCCACTTTTTGTTGATGGCGTTTTGGGAGAACCTGGAGAAGAGACTTTGATAATGACGTAAGCAGAGAATCCATAGTGAATATATATAAAAGCTAATAATCAGATGAGATATCATTTCTAACCTTTGAAGGCAAGGGAAAGACTCTTCATTGCTACATTTAAAATGATCCCAAGAATGTTGTACATTTTTGTTAATTATATCGTAAGTTATGTCACATTTCTTACATTTCATAAAAATACACAGGTTTTTTTGGTAGTACTTTGGGCATTTTACTTACATTATAATTAATTAGTTTAACTGAAGGCAGACATTGAACCGATTGTAAAACATGCAGTTGGTAGACAAACTTAGTTGGAAGCGCTTCACTTGCTTTATTTCAAAATAATTTGCTTCTAAGTATATCTTTAATATTGCTGTTTGAATTGCCACTTGCCTCATGAGTCATGTGCATCAATCCACTAACAGCTGTTTCATATGTCACGCATCCATCAGTGATGAGTACTGAAGAAAATATTTTGAATAAATCCCTATTGCATTTTTAATTTGCAATTTTTCTTTTCTATTATAAATTTATAACACATGATGAAAAACCCAACACACTATTTTGACACCACACATGTGCGAACACTGATCTTGGCAAGTTGGGAAGAACGAAGGACATTCGGAGTTTTGAGAAGCTAGAAACTACTCACTGGTATTGCTCCACAAACATATCGCCACACTTACTTCATTGTTATGTGATAGAGTTTTGCATTTAGTTCAGCTATCTGGGCTACTATAAATTCACTACAGGTTGATTCAAAGATACTAAATATGGATAAAGGTATGCTCTTACTCAAATGATTACGTTTTCTGGTAACAGTTCAGTATGTTTTGTGCAGAGTTTTTGGGCACTTCAGCCATCGCTCTGAATGGCAGCTGGTGAAGGTGGATTACAAGTCAATCTTCGACCGACGGTGTGCTGAGGACGACTACCGTCCCTGGCAGCTTCACAGCCAGGTAAAAAAGTGTGCGCCATTATAATCTGTGACCAAAGATACAAAGTTCTGTTCACCCTGATTTATTTGCCTGGCCTCCTGTAGGGATCTGATATATGCAAATTCCAGCTGTGGTAATAGGGCACTTACAGTAGAAGGTGGACCTTGGGCTTGCTGATCAAAAGGTCACGGTTTGAATCCCCACAACGGAGTGAGCTCCCGCTGTTCTGTCCCAGCTCCTGCCAACCTAGCAGTTCAAAAGTAAAGGTAAAGGTACCCCTGCCCGTACGGGCCAGTCGTGTCCGACTCTAGGGTTGTGCGCCCATCTCACTCAAGAGGCCAGGGGCCAGCGCTGTCCGGAGACACTTCCGGGTCACGTGGCCAGCGTGACATCGCTGCTCTGGTGAGCCAGAGCCGCACACGGAAACGCAGTTTACCTTCCCGCTAGTAAGCGGTCCCTATTTATCTACTTGCACCCAGGAGTGCTTTCAAACTGCTAGGTTGGCAGGCGCTGGGACCGAACAACGGGAGTGCACCCCGCCGCGGGGATTCGAACCGCCGACCTTTCGATCGGCAAGCCCTAGGCGCTGAGGCTTTTACCCACAGCGCCACCCGCGTCCCAGTAGTTCAAAAGTACACCAGTGCAAATAGATAAATAGGTACCACTGCAACAAGAAGGTAAACAACGTTTCTGTGGACTCTGGTTTCCATCATGGTTTAGTAATGCTGGCCACATGACCCGGAAAGCTGTCTGTGGACAAACAGCAGCTCCGGCCTGAAAGTGAGATGAGCACCGCAACTCCATACTGTAGTCGCCTTTGACTGAACTTAACCCTCCAGGGGTTCTTTACCTTTTTTACCAACAGGTTTATGTTTATCTGCATTCACACACACGCACACACACTTCTTTGCCCGAGTGTTTTTGATTTCTTCAGCTGGAGTCCTTGTAGTGTTAAGGAAAGAGTGGCCAATTTGCTTTGAAAGTGGAAGAAGACATAAAACCACTAGCTATTTCTAATTTGGTAAACAAAGAGCCTCAAATGGGAGGGTGGGTGTGTTGTGTTGGTATCCATCTATCATCTTATCTATCTATCTATCATCTATCTATCATCTTCTATCATCTATCTATCTATCTATCATTCTATCTATCTATCTATCTATCATCTATCTATCTATCATCTATTTATATCTATCTATCTCTATCTATCTATCTATCTATCTATCTATCTATCTATCTATCTATCTATATCTATCTATCTATCATCTATCTATCTATCTATCTATCTATCATCTATCTATCATCTATCTATCATCTATCTATCATCATCTAGGAGTCTTGGTTGACCACAAACTTGACATGAGCCAACAGTGTGACGCGGCAGCTAAAAAAGCCAATGCAATTTTGGGCTGCATCAATAGGAGTATAGCATCTAGATCAAGGGAAGTAATAGTGCCACTGTATTCTGCTCTGGTCAGACCTCACCTGGAGTACTGTGTCCAGTTCTGGGCACCACAATTCAAGAAGGACACTGACAAACTGGAACGTGTCCAGAGGAGGGCAACCAAAATGATCAAAGGCCTGGAAACGATGCCTTATGAGGAACGGCTAAGGGAGCTGGGCATGTTTAGCCTGGAGAAGAGGAGGTTAAGGGTGATATGATAGCCATGTTCAAATATATAAAGGGATGTCACATAGAGGAGGGAGAAAGGTTGTTTTCTGCTGCTCCAGAGAAGCGGACACGGAGCAATGGATCCAAACTACAAGAAAGAAGATTCCACCTAAACATTAGGAAGAACTTCCTGACAGTAAGAGCTGTTCGACAGTGGAATTTGCTGCCAAGGAGTGTGGTGGAGTCTCCTTCTTTGGAGGTCTTTAAGCAGTCATCTATCTATCATCTATCTATCATCTATCATCTATTATCATCATCATCATCATCTCTCTCTCTCTCATCTATCTATCATCTATCTATATCTATATCTATATCATCTATATCTATATCTATATCTATATCTATATCTATATCTATATCTATATCTATATCTATATCTATATCTATATCTATATCTATATCATCTATATCTATATCTATATCTATCTATCTATCATCTATCTGTAGGGATAAACCTCACCATTATGAGGGAGTGTGAAGTGGAATTCTATGTCATGCTAATAAAATCATTTCACCAGCACAAGCATTTCCTCTTGCCAGATCAAACACTCTCCCCTTTCCTCCCCTTCTGCCCTGCTCTGGGAGTTCTCCCAACCCTGAACCCCCCTCAGAGCCTATTGGGAGTGAAGGGTGCATTGGGAGAGGAGAGGAGCAAAGCCCTGTTGTGGAAGCAGGACTTGTTGTTTTGGCTCTAAACCACACAGCTATTTGATTGAATCCATCCTATTGTTTTTCTCTCACCTCAGGGAGAAGCATGCATCATGGGAGCAAAAAGGATCTACAGGAAGCGTAAGTCAGAAAAGAAATGTATGCAGGGCAAGTACGCTGGAGCCATGGCATCTGAACCATGTGTCTGCACAGAGGCAGACTTTGATTGGTGAGTACCGCTTTCAGCATTTTAGCAAGGCTATAGTTTATATGATCCTGATAATGAACACAACGTTGGCAAGGGAATTGGAGACTAGGAATGCCTGAGGAATTTGATTTCAGTGAATCCCGATGTGAACTGACTTGATCCCACTTCCCAGCCTATTCAAATGAGGAAGTAATTATTCTTGTATTTCAAATTTTGTGATATAATTCTAGGCTGGAAAATGCATTAAAATGCATTTGTATTGTGTGATGAAATACATATTTAAATATAAATTAGAGTATTGATTTCCCTGCAGCTTTTGTGTTTTTTAAAAAATAAATAAATGCGCAAATCATTCCAGACAAGCCTTTTCCAAAAGTTTGCTGCAAAATATGTAGAAGGGGATTTCTTTTCTTCCTCTAAATCATGAATTTTCCACACCAGCAGTCACAATCACCATATTTTTTCCTCTTTTGCAAGTGGTTAAAACCCTTCTTACTACCACCTTTTAGCACTCAGTCTGGGAGAAAAATTTAGCAGGAGCTGAGAAAAGAGAAGTGAGAAATACTGAAAAGTATTTTGTATAAGATTTGAGAAATGGTTTGAGGAGAGGAAATTGGAGGACACCCAGGGCCCCAGGGAGTTGGCACTTATATTCCTTTCCATCACTTGAATGCCAGGGAGGGACAGTTTAGCACCCTGTTGATATTTTGCTTTTTGTATCCTGGTTTATATGAATTACTCCTGCACTCAGCTGTAATGCTGTTTAACTGCATATAAATTCTTTTTAATTGCAATATTTTATTTCATAAAGTGTGTTCTTGTCAAAAATGTATGCACTTTTTATGTTGTTTGTGACTGCTGAACATAGTGCAGAAAGGTAATTTATTGTTTTAAGTATTGACATTTAACTAGTAGTGGGACAAGATTTTAAAACACAGATATAGGCAATGGGTACTAATCCAAACATTTCATTCTACTATGGCAAAGAGGATCAGACTTTGTCTGAGGTGTGCAAGTAAAATGCCCTTCTCTTGTGAAAAAGGACAATAATGAGTAGTGCATTTCATTACCTTTAGAATTTCACAGCAGGGAGCAGATTAAGATTACAATCCTAACTCCATTTACCTGAGAACGAGTGGCGCTGTGGGTAAAAGCCTCAGCGCCTAGGGCTTGCCGATCGAAAGGTCGGCGGTTCGAATCCCCGCGGCGGGGTGCGCTCCCGTTGTTCGGTCCCAGCGCCTGCCAACCTAGCAGTTCGAAAGCACTCCTGGGTGCAAGTAGATAAATAGGGGCCGCTTTCTAGCGGGAAGGTAAACGGCGTTTCCATGTGCGGCTCTGGCTCGCCAGAGCAGCGATGTCACGCTGGCCATGTGACCCGGAAGTGTCTCCGGACAGCGCTGGCCCCTGGCCTCTTGAGTGAGATGGGCGCACAACCCCAGAGTCTGTCAAGACTGGCCCATACAGGCAGGGGTACCTTTACCTTTACCTTTAAGCCCCATTGAATTCAGTGGGACTTACTTTCAAGCAGACATGTTTAGGATTGCAATCTTGGTGCATACAGGCTGCCTCTATGAATCATTTTGTGCAAATTAACAAACAATACGTCAGAAACAAAAAAACAATGAGGCACCTGTCAGGACAATAGCAATTATATATCAATGGATATGTAAATTGCATACATTGCAAAGCAGTTTTCATGCCTGGTTATGTATAATGTGCACATGTTGTTGTCGTTTAAAAAACAAACTTGCTGTAGAGAATTAAGTTGAAAATCATTCATAGCAAAGAATCTGTGCCATGAAGGGGTTGAATGGGTGAGTGGAAGAAAAGATGATGGATAATCCATTTCCAATGGATGCCTCCAGCATCAATATTATTTTTGTGGGGTGTTTTACCAATATGTAGATAGACATTTGTGTATCAGCAGAACACTATGAAAAGAGAATCTTCATGCAATCGTGCATACTTATCACATCAAGGTTCCCTTTCTGCACTATTGTGTCATGGGGATGATGCAGAAACATTCAATTTTAATCAGAAACTTCCTAATTTGCACTTCTTGTACTGTGTTGGGGGCCACCCAAAGTGGCTGGGGCAACCCAGTTAGATAGACGGTATATAAACAATAAAATTCTTATTCTTATTAAAACAATGCATGATCTGAAATGCAATTATCTTTCAAAATCTGCAGTTTCTGAATCTTGTGATGCAGTTCTCCAGACAACGTATGCAAAAATGTATATATTAGGGGAAAGTCTGTATAACAATGAGAAACTTATTTTAAAAAATTCCAAATTGCCACAGAAAGGTGAAGAACTGAATCTAAGGATGGAAAAATGAAACAAAGCCTATCTGATAGATAGATTGATCCATCCCTAATGATACCTGATTCTTAATACAAATTTTACTAATCTTATGTTCTCAGATGCAGAGCATGAGATAAATTATGTTTTCCATAGTTCAGGGTATTGTAGAAACAGCACTGGCATCAGACATCCATTTATTTGTATGTCTTTCTAAAGTAAATTTTATGTTTTCCACAATTAATTATTCAAGCACCTACTACTTTGTTGTTGTTGTTGTTGGGGTGGGCATGAAAAATCTGTATTTACCCCAAATAATGATTAAAAAAAAAATAAAAAAATAAACACTTACTGTGTAACTACAGATTGAAACTATTTCACCAGAAAGGTTTAAAAAAAACAATGTATGTTTCTAGAAACAGAAAGTAACGTATTGCCAAAATGATCTTTGGAAGAATGAGTGAGTAATGCTGGGAAAGGAGCCAGCTTAGCAGAGAGATTACATTTGCATGCATTGCCTGCTTCTCACTACCAGGGGGCAATAGTGTTTCAGAAATGATTATCACAATGAAAATTGTGTACTTGGTCCTAAGGACAATATTACCTAGCAACTGCCTAGAAGCCAAATTGTATTTATTTAGGTAGTAAATGGATTATGGGGCGACACATATGTTATTAAAGCATTTATTTACCAGGTTTCCCAGCATTTTACTGCAGCATGCAAAGTATCACTCCAGCTGCAGATTTTATTTTTTATTCTGTACGAAAACGAATCTCAACATGTTTTTTAAAAATGGATCATTTAGTTTGTGTGTTATGTTGGCTGTAACAGTGACCTCCATTACTTGTTTAATACCCTAACTTGCTTTGCTAAAGCACCATGAGTCAGAACAGCTTATCTTTATGTGATGATAAAAGACTTCATAATCAGAACAGACCTCATTGTGTGTCAAGGAGGTTTCTGTACCCAAAGTTATAGCCCCGCTTCAATATTTACATGATTGATATGTCCCCTTTCCTCCACCATGTAGATGATGGAGTAAGTGTTGGGTAAAAGGTAAAGGTACCCCTGACCGTTAGGTCCAGTCACGGACGACTCTGGGGTTGCGGCGCTCATCTTGGAGCCGGCGTTTGTCCGCAGACTGTTTTTCCAGGTCATGTAGCCAGCATGACGTAAGCCGCTTCTGGCGAACCAGAGCGGCACGCGGAAACGCCGTTTACCTTCCTGCTGGAGTGGTACCTATTTATCTACTTGCACTTTGATGTGCTTTCGAACTGCTAGGTTGACAGGAGCAGGGACTGAGCAACGGGAGCTCACCCCGTTGCAGGGATTTGAACCGCTGACCTTCTGATTGGCAAGTCCTAGGCTCTGTGGTTTAACCCACAGCACCACCGCATCCCTTAAGTGTTGGGACCACCACATAAATTCCTGAAGGTGCAGAATCCCCCCCCCCATTTTTGCTCCCCAGTTTGAGGAAGACAGATTCCACACATGGGACCTCTCTGCACTAGGGGGCATTCACACGTAAACCTTGCAGTTCACATGACCACCATGGAAGGAACATAAGGTATACTACTCACTTACCAAATGAATGCTGCAGGCAATGTATAATCATAAGAAGAGTTTCCTGGATCAGTTCAATGACCTCTCTAGGTCAGCATCCTGTTCTCACAGTGGCCAACCTGATGCCTATGGGAAGACGACAAGCAGAACCTGAGCACAACAGCATTCCCCACCCCACACCACACAGTTTTCAGCAACTGGTATTCTGCTGTCAAAACTCAGATATCAACATGGAGGATAGGATACACCTACTAAAATGGCGGCACTGATCCAAAGATTAACTGAATTATTATTTGAATCTTCTTATCCAAGTCAGTGATATTCTACATATAATCATGCACACACATAGACCTTACGTGGTCTCCCTCACACCTCCCTGTGGGTTTTAAAACCTGAAAAAAAACACCCCTAAGTGTTAAAACTCACTGCATGGACAAGCTACTGGAGCAATTGTTACAGTATGGGTAACCATTACGGTCGTGTGAAAGTAATAACGTGACATGCAGCACAATCTTTGTCTGCTCAGAAGCATGTACCATTGAATTCAGTGAGGCTTATTCCAAGGTAAAGTGGGTTTCATGATTGCAGCCTTAGGTGTCAGGCTGTCAGGGAACATGTCAAATACCAGTTTCAAACACCAGATGTCTGGCTGTAATGCTATTGATCTTAGCGCACTCCCATTTTCAGATTTAAGTAGCGGGGTTCATCCTTTGTCCCAATTGATGCTGATGCTTGTTGATTGCAAGGCAGCCTGTTGTGTCTGCAGTTAGGCAGCAATTTGTTGTTATCATCAGAGTTCTGTGTGCATCAGAGAGAAGACAAGAAATTCATTAGATTACAGGTCTGCAAGGTGAAAGAGCGATGCTAATGCCTCTCTAGTGAGATGCAAAGGAGTTGCTTCTGTCATTTCTCAGCATATTTCTCTCTGTGTGTAGGCAGGTGAATGAATGGATGTAAAGGCAGGCAGGCAGGGAGTTGCCAAAACCAAAAAATGTTGCAATCAAAAGTCAACATCTGTTTGCTTACTGCAGAGAGCTAGTTTTGTGGTAGAAACATACAAATATATCTTAAATGGAAGTTAATGTTGTTGCTGTTGTTTCACTACTTGTCCTTCAATTTAAAATCACAAGCCGGGCTATAGCACTTAAAACACAATGCTAAAAGCCTGTTCCGTACCCAATTTGCCTGGCAGCACAGGGGCCCATAAGGGTACCCCTGCCCGTATGGGCCAGTCGTGTCCGACTCTAGGGTTGTGTGCTCATCTCACTTAAGAGGCCGGGAGCCAGCGCTGTCCAGAGACACTTCCGGGTCACGTGGCCAGCGTGACGAAGCTGCTCTGGCAAGCTGGCACCAGCGCAGCACACGGAAACGCCGTTTACCTTCCCGCTATACAGCGGTGCCTATTTATCTACTTGCACTTAGGGGTGCTTTCGAACTGCTAGGTGGGCCCATAGATTGCAGCAAAATGCTGGGCAAGGTTTTTGCTTAGTATCCTCTCTGTGTGATGCGCTCATAGGAAAAAGCTTGTTGCAGAGGGGAAGGGAAGCCTATACAGTGGTACCTCGGGTTACATACACTTCAGGTTACAGACTCCACTGACCCAGAAATAGTGCTTCAGGTTAAGAACTTTGCTTCAGGATAAGAGCAGCAGCAGGAGGCCCCTTTAGCTAAAGTGGTGCTTCAGGTTAAGAACAGTTTCAGGTTAAGAATGGACCTCCGGAACGAATTAAGTACTTAACATGAGGTACCACTATATAAGGCTGCTTCCCCTGGAGCTCACAGTCATTTTGGCATGAGAGCTTCCTTCCTGCCCACCCTTGGGTTAGAGCCTTCAGTGAGCAATTTTGGGTTGCTGGTTGACAGGACTGGAAATGATTTTTTCTCTCTCAACCTGATTCGCACTTTTGTGGTTTCCCCCCCCACCTTTCCCTTCCTTTGTTAGGTGGAAGTACGTTGTTTGTATGAGGGTGAAAATGGCATTGGGCAGGATCATCCTAGCCTGGGGGGGCATAAGGGATCTGAGGATTCAGTATCTGCCTGCTTGGAATCAGTGGTGAAGCTGCATGGGGGTGGAGAGCAGGCGGGGGCATGGCAGACGCCCCCTGGGGGGCATGACGTGCCCTGGGGGAGTGACGCGGCACCTGCAGAGGCGTGGTGCGCATTCTGGGGGTGTGATTTGCTGTCTGTGGGGGTGTGGCATAGTGGTGCCGGGGGTGGTCTGTTCCTTCCACACTCCTGTTCCTCTGCCAGTGCTTGGAATCTGCACCCTGGTCCCTCAGTGAGACCTTGCTTGCTTGGTTTGCACCACGGCAAGGTTCAACACTGGCAACACTTGGAGCGATCCAAACCCAGCAGATTCATTCCATCAACATGGGACTTGTGGAATGATGAGCTGATCCTGGGACCCAATGCCATGCCGACCCTTACCCTGTCTACTGCTATCAATAAAGGTTTGACCTGATTTCATCCCATCACCATTGTACAGTCTGCTTATTTTGCTGCTCTCATGGGCCACATAATGCGCCTGCCTGGGCAAACAGTTTCAAACAACTTACAATCTCAGAATTAAGATGGAACCTAAAAATATACATCTCAGGTGTCAAAAGTCAGGGTAAAGAGGTGTGCTATATAGTGAAGATGCCAGGAAGGAATCCAAAAGGTGTGCACAGGTGAGAATTGTAGAATCTTCTCCACCAACCACACTTCACCTCCATGCATACACCTCCTTTTCCCAATGACTCTGCTTCCAGCTAGGTTCAGGCAGGAGAAGAGTTCAGTACCTCATGCCCATACATCCATCATGCTCTTAAAATTGGACCCGTAGTCATGCAAACACACAAATTGCCCTTTGTCACTCCCACACCTCCCACTCTTGTATCTTCAGAAATGCTGCTACAGCTGTATCCTAGATTCAGGTAGGTAGCCGTGTTGGTCTGACACAGTCAAAATAAATAAAAAAATTGTCCAGTAGCACCTTAGAGACCAACTAAGTTTGTTCTGGGTATAAGCTTTCCCCTGCCCTATAGCTTATACCCAGAACAAACTTAGTTGGTCTCTAAGGTGCTACTGGACCATTTATTTATTTATTTCAGCTGTATCCTAGGTGCGATGGACCCTGGGAAACATTAGATTCTCAGGGCAACTAGATATTTAATATAGATGGAGGGGTCCTGGAAATGGCAAATCCAAGGCTGCCAGGGCAAATGTTACAGTCCATCAAGAACGCTCTACTTAGACACTAGTGAGTATAACAAGCAAGGATGCATGCAATCTCTCAGTTCCAAGAGATTGCTTCCATGCTCAAGTTTACATGCCTCTTCTCCTAGTGCTTGATCTAAAGGAACTTTGGGGAGTTTCCAGATAGGCTTTTCATTGGGCATTCATGCCGATACATTCACATAAGCCTCACACAGAGGTTGTACAATGTTACCTGTTTAGTGAACATTCATCGTGACATCTTCAAGTGGAGATTACACAACATTGCCAGCTAGTGGTTGTTATCCTGCACTTTCCAAATTTTTAATCAGACATTTTGCACTTACAAAAGGGATGAGATAGTTGTGCTGGAAAGTTTGGGGTTCCAACCAAATTTTGTGTGAATAAACAATCTCTCTGGAAGTGCTCTTGCACGACTATTAAGCAACAAAGGGGGGGGGGAGGGGGAGAAAGCATCCGAATAAGAGCATGTCCATACAAACATGATAAAGTGGCCCTGACAATAATGATAGAGATTTGAAGGGGTCCAATTGCCCCAACCAAGGGATATAGCCCCTATCCATCAGTTCAGTATATTATGGGGGTGTGGAGTTATATAGCATAGTAATCTATAGTATATTGGCACATTATATTGAATTGCATGTTTATACAGATTCATTATTGATAAATCATAGACTCTAAATATGAGGTCTGAATCATGATTTCATTGACAGAGTTCAGTCCTGGAATATATGAAGATATGCATCTCTGAGTATATGCAGAGTGTTTTTCTCTCACCTACATCCAGCTCTCAAAACATCTTAACTAAAGCAGGACTCCCAAGGCAATTCAAAGGACGGCTTGAGCCCTGCTTCTGCTCTTTTCAATATTAAGCACTTGTGTCATCCATATCCAGCACTGAGCGATATCATCTAGGATTCCTTGCCTAGAAGAAAGGGTGCATGTAGCATAGAAACTCAAACTGATTAAATCAGGCTTTGAACACGTATTCTCTTTTCTGCATATTTTGCTGCTCTGCCTTTCACTTGATTATTGAACATGCTGTGAGAGTGCAGCATTACAGCTTTTTAATTATATTGATACATGAGACCTCAGCAATACAAGCATTTCAGCGTGTTGACAATCAGATTACAGAGGAAAGAAACCTCATTTATAAATAAATGAAAATGAGTTTTATCACTTGTGGAATAATAATTTCAATAGCCTTTATGCTGTCTCTCCACTTAGGATGCTTATAAAATTATTTTGCATCCTTTGGGTAACCAAGTATCTGTTTGCAAAACAATTAACCAGTGTTTAGCATGCTTGCAAAAAGACTCAGGAATGTTATACATATGAAAGAGTGAAGTGAAAATGTTGGCTCAGTTCCATTGCCAAAAAGAACGGATGGGGTCAGGGCTTTTTTTCCAGCTGTAACTCACAGGAGCTGAGTTCTGGCACCTCTAAGGTAGGCGCCATTGCCATTCTAAAAGAATGGGGGGGGGTGTTCATTGCTCTTTTCTAGAAAAATAGCAGTGGACAGGGCTGTCCAACAAGTGCTAACTGCATTATCCCTTCTCTAACTCTGTGCCTTTTCTTGTGCAGTCTTAGCAGAAGTTCAGCCTTCATTCTGCCCTCCCTTTGCATATCACTTGTTTTCAAAGGAAATTGAGCAGTTCCTGGGACGACACTCAGCTCAGTTGTGGACCACACATTTTGCACCCAAAAGGTCCCACATTCACCCTCTGACATCTCCAGTAAAAGGATCTCAGATATCAAATCTGGGGGGCAATCTTAGAAACTAGTGGGGAGTCAGAATAGCCAATCTATTGAACTAGATTGACCAATGGTGAGATCTGATATAAGGCAGCTTCATTTCCTCTGGCCATAGTTATCCTCTAGATAACTTCCAACATCACACAACAAGCCAGAGAAGTGAAGGCGACAAAATGCATGGGGAGTCTGGTACATATTCACTGTGCTTTGACCTACCCATCCACTGGGTACTAAAGAGTAGTTTCTGCTAAAATTATGATACTGAAATGAATGGTCATAATCCAAAATCAACCAGGCTCAAATGTTGTATAGTTACCGACAGAGCCATACCTAGGCTTCCTTGTGCCCTTGGCAAGGAGCTATATCAGCACCCTCACCCACCCCACATGTGCCCTTGGCAAGGAGATGTATTGGTGCCTCTGAAGCCGGGAGAGGCCAGAAACTCAAAAAGTTTGCGCTTTTTTCACCTTTCACGCTCTGCCAGTGTCTTTTTCCATTGCTGCTCTCCTCCGCCTCTCCTCCTCCTCCTCCTCTGTTGGTCCATCTGTCTGAGCATGCAAACAGATGGGGGGGGCTCCTAGCCCCTCCAAGCCAGAGTGGGGAGGTATGGTTTTTGAGCCATTGGTAGGAGCCAATCTGACCAACTTCTATGTATGCCCATGATTACTGATTGAGGCAAATGCAGACAAGAAGCCCAGAGCTGTAGAACACCACCCTCAAGTTGTAGACAGATGTATGTATACCTGTGTGAAACGGATATATGTGCAGAAGACAAAGTAAGCTTCCAGGGCTGTATTTATGTGAATGTGGTATACCTCTGCAGGCTTCACTGTAACATGATCTCTCAGAATTATGTGCTTCTGATTCACATATCACTGAAACAATCTCTCCTTCATTCAAACCAGTGACTATGGATTTGAGCGTCACAGCAATGGCCAGTGCTTGCCTGCATTTTGGTACAACCCATCCTCCTTGTCAAAAGACTGCAGTATTGGTCAGAGTTATCTCAACAGCACTGGGTGAGTTGTTTTCAGATCAGACTTACCAGAATCTAGTTGTTAATATTATTTGTGAATGGTTGTTAAGCTTTCCTCATGCTGTTCATCAGGTCTATTGCAGAGCAAGGCTTCAAATGCGGAGGGGCTTGCCAAGGGATTCTAAGACAGTCTAGCTACCAGTGATGCATATGACCCAGCCTTCCCTGCTGTGCCAGTCTGGAGCTGGCACAAAAGAAAGTCATATTTATCCTTCCTCTCTGGCTGACATCAGTGCCAGAGCTTTGGAAATGGTGGCATCTCTGCTTCTCCATTTATCCTCATTTTGTGTTAGGTTGTGTAAACACTATACCTTTAAAGCACATGAAAAGCAAACATACACCCCTCAAAGATTTATGGGCACAGTAGTTTTTTTATGAGTTGCTGTCAATTTTAGCTCTGTGAGAGGTAAACTACAATGCCCATAGCTCTTTGAGGGAGAGAATCAGCTTTGAAACTGCTTTTAAGTGTGCACGCAACCTATGCTGTTTTGTGATAAAATTCCTTATTATCAATTGCTGTCAGATTAACATTTAGCATCATTAATGGTCTTATTTATTTGGATGCTTTATTATATCTGTGCATTCTTAATTTGTTGTGAATGGCTATGAGACTTTTTCTGTAAGAAGTGATGAAATAATAACAGTTGCTGTTATTGTTATGATTTGCTTAAACTAATTGGGATATTGTGGTGGTGGTCTTGAAAAAGAGTAAATAGTCTTAAGTAAGCATCTTGCAGTGGTCCTTCCTTACACTGTTGTGTCTGCTTCCCACTTTCAACAGGTATAGGAAGGTTGTATCTAATAACTGCACAGATGGTGTGCGTGAACAGTACACAGCTAAGCCTCAGCAGTGTCCTGGCAAAGCCCCACGAGGACTCCGAGTTGTCACTTCAGATGGCACATTGACATCAGAACAAGGGCACAATGTTACCTTCATGGTGCAGCTGGAGGAGGTATGTTGTCTTTCACACATTTTCCACTGGGGCTTTTGAGTCTGAATCGTTTAGAAGAAAATGGATAGAAGTGGACACAGTTAATTGGCCAGTGGGATTTAACTGATTAATGGCTTGATAAATATGAGTTGTGTATCTGGGCTACAATAAACAGGGCTTCGTTAACTTCTGTAACCTTTGCTCACTTCCACTTTTGCCCTTCCCAATTCCTTGAAGGGTAGACCCAAAAGTGAAGTTACCTGGGCAAATATTGCCAAGCAAATGGCAAAGCCAGCATTTAGAGGATATGGAAAATTTACATTTCTGAAACAATGTGTTCTGTCAACTACCATTTGTTACTTAAACGAGGCATGGAGGACACCCAGTCTTGCTTAAGAAGTGCTAATTGTGGATTAGTTTCCATGTTGCAACAGACAGTTGTATTCTTCTTGAATCCCACAACTTAGTGACTTGAAAAGTCAACACCTACTGGTGAAAAGACAACCAAGGGATAATAAAGACCCTGACATCCGTTCTATCAACCATTGAACTCAACATTATCAAATGCAAGTACTCTTAGGATAGTTTTATGCTAGGTGCATTTGCAAGATAGTAATGTGTGCATTCGCAAGGAGTTAAGATGGGGCATTCACTCTGCAGAAATCTAGAGAAAACCTCACCCATCAGTTCCCATCTTTATACATGTTTAAGAAATAGATGCTACAAAACTGACTGCAGCATCTGAATCGAAACAATTTACACAATATAAGATAGCATATAAGTATAGAGGGTATATTTGTGTTGAGACATGGAAAGTTTTTTGCTACCAAATTTGGCTCAAGACGTGTGTGTGTGTGTGTGTGTGTGTGTGTGTGTGTGTGTGAGAGAGAGAGAGAGAGAGAGAGAGAGAAAGAAAGAAAGAAAGAAAGAAAGAAAGAAAGAAAGAAAGAAAGAAAGAAATTAAAATTCCTATGCTATAGGTGTCTTAAAAACCATCTCTGCACTGGACTATGGGCTGAAAAATTTGAGTTACGGTAATCTGCATAAAGACCAGAAAAAGCAAATGCTTGAGAATTACATTCTGGAAGACATCCGAGGAGAAACAACAACTGCCTGTTGCAAAACCTGCTTTAAAATATGTTTTAAACATCTGCAAGGATAAAGAGATAACAAGTCATTGCTTAACTGAAAGCTTCCAATTAAATGTCAAGCTTGGGACTAGATTTAAAAACATTTTGATTACATCTCATTGTTTAACATTTTGATTTACATGTAAGGCCCAGCACTTCATAGAAAAAAATCATGCTTGCAGCCACTTGGGTGAGACTGAAATTGATTGTTTGAAGGTGTTGTCCTCATTAAGATGATTAAAATTAGCAGTATCATCTCCTCCCACATTGAAACTCCATGCATGACTTACACGTAATCAAGTTATAATCATATTCTGTAAATGGGCCAGGCTGTTACTTTTGAATCCATAGGTGTAAAGAATCTCAGAGGCTGTGAGAAGAATTCAGGTATAAAATGCAGCTAATTATTTAACACCTTGCTTGTTTATATAGCAATGGGTTAGGCATGTGCATCAGCTCTTTGTATACCCTGAATTACAAGGTGCATTGGGGTAATTCAAGGAAGGTTCTCATTTTACCTCATTAGATTGTTCTATTATCAAGATGCCTTGAGGTGTATCACTTCATTTTCAAGGGACTCTGTTTGGACCCAACTAAGGAAGCCCCGCAGAGCTCAAGAGGGAAGGTGATGGAGAGTTGGGGGAGAGGGTCTCTTATTCTGATGGATGGGGCTAGCTTTTAATCATAGTGAATTATTTCCTCGGGGCACTCCAATCACGTTGAGTTGATGGAAGGGTTGGAAACTGCTTAGAATCATAGAATCACAGAATTGGAGAGATAAAACGAACCCCAGGGTCATCTAGTCCAACTCTGCAATACAGGAATCTCAACTAAAGCATCCAAGACAGATGGCCGTTCAACCTCTGCTTAAATACTTGCAATGAAGGATAGTCCACCACCTCCCAAGGGAGTCCAGTCTACTGTCAAGTAGCTCTTACTATCATAAAGTTTTGCCTGATGTTTAGTTGGAATCTCCTTTCTTGTAACTTGACGTCATTGGTTCGGGTCCTACCCTCTGGAGCACAAGAAAACAAGCTGACTCCATCTTCCATGTGACAACCCTTAGATACTTGAAGATAGCTATCATGGCTCCTCTCAGTCTCCTCTTTTTCCAGGCCAAACATACACAACTTCCTCAACCATTCCTCATAAGGCTTTATTTCAGGACCCTTGATCATTTTGGTCTCCCTTCTCTGCACACATTCCAGTTTGTCAATATCCTTCTTAAATTGTGGTTTTCAGAATGGGACACACTATTCCAGGTGTGGTCTGACTATGGCAGAATAGAGTGGGACTATTACTTCCCTTAACGGATGCGGGTGGCACTGTGGTCTAAACCACTAAGCATCTTGGGCTTGCCGATCAGAAGGTCAGCAGTTCGAATCCCCACAACGGGGTGAGCTCCTGTTGCTCAGTCCCAGCTCCTGCCAACCTAGCAGTTTGAAAGCACGCCCCAAAAAGTGCAAGTAGATAAATAGGTACTGCTCCAGCAGGAAGGTAAACGGCATTTCCGTGCACTGCTCTGGTTTCGGTGTTCCGTTGCACCAGAAGCGGCTTAGTAAAGCTGGCCACATGACCCGGAAAAACTGGCTGAGGACAAACGCCGACTCCCTCGACCTGTAAAGTGAGATGAGTGCTGCAATCCCAGAGTCGTCTGCTACTGGACTTAACTGTCAGGGGTCCTTTACCTTTATTACTTCCCTTGATCTGGATGCTATGCTTCTTGTTGGCACAGCTTTCTCATAGAGAGAGCACAGAACAATTCAGAAACAGATCATTTTTTAAAAAAGAAATGTGCACAGATACAAGCAGCAGCAGGTGGCAGAACAGTACAGGCAGGACTGTGTTGCTGACCTGGCTTCCCAATGCTTCGTAATGCTGGTTACTGAGAGAGAGAGAGGGGCAAAGCAGCAGGGAGCTTGGTGCAGTGCAGCCACAACAGCAAGAACATCAGATTGTGCCCACTCCATGAAAAGCCCCCATTCAACTTGCCCCTCTCTGGATTACTTGCACTGCAGCAATCCAGGTGTAGTGGTTTGGAGTTACTCGTGCGTAAGACGACCCCGTTTGGGTGCTTGGTTGCCTGGTTAAACCCTTCGGACTGCACAGCCCATCTCCGCTTGACTGCCTCAGTCACTGGCAGAATCTGTCTGTGGGCGTTTCTTAAACCTCTGCCAGCATAAAAGCTGTTTGACACCTAATCGTCTCCGCCTCTCATTGCGCGGGAGTCTCCTGCGCAGGGTGGGCGTGGGTAGCGGAGTGCCTGGGCTCTCTTCACTGACTTCCAGGGAAGAATCCCGGAGCCCTTCCACCTCCTCTTCCCCTTGCTCTCCTGGACTCTTGGTGTCACACGTATTTCCTTCCCCTTCCCAGCCCCCTTTCCTTCACCTGCAGAATCTGAGACCCTCTCCTTCTCCCGTGTCTCTGATGTCAGTTCCCTGACACCAGGGTTTCAGACAGCAGTATTTCCATCAGGCAGAAGATGCCGAGGGATGAACTTGGGGCTTTTTGCACACAAAGCATGTGCTTTTCAGTATTAAGTATTTGGAGACTATTTGATAAATATTCAGGTACTCGGAGAATGTTTGAGCATTATTGGATGCCATAGAGGACCATCTTAAGGAGACTTTGGGGAAGAAATGATTAAGATACACTTAGAATCACAGCTTTGATGCATTGATGTAAAACCTGTGGGAGAAATGTGTTCCCTTTACTGCCTACCTTATTATCTGAGCTCAGCAGAGTCACAAAACTATTCAGTCTAGCACTACATTTGTCACTGTGATGAATGAAGGATGGGGGGGGGAATGACAGATACAGATCAGTCTTTTGTAATTTCATGTACTGTAGAAATCATCATTATGGGTGTCAGTTACACATACCTAGCGATATTCTATATTTACTGAGTTGCTCTTGTGCAGCTTTCTATCTGTAATTTCCTGGAGACCCTACACTGTGATTTAGTCAAACACCTGATTACAGAAGTGTTCTCAAGCCGTTTGGACATGCTTTATGTTTGGACTGTGGTATAAGCACATCATGCAGAAATGCACTTCCTATGCATACAATACTGTGAAAGATGTTCTGACCAATTTATGGGATGCAGAGGGAAAAAAGACCTGTGGGAAGCAACACAGGAACCTAGGAAAGTGCCTTATACCAAGTCAGACTATTGGTTCATCAAGTTCCATATGGTTTGACTCTTAACTGGCTGCCCAGGGTTTCAGGCAGGACTCTGTCTCACTCTATCTGGAAACAGCAGATATTGAACCTGGAACCTCTCTTGTATGCAAATCAAGCGCTATATCACTGAACAACAACCTGTCCCCTATGCTATGGAACTATGAAGTCAACTTTCAACACACTTAGAAATGTTAAGTTTTGGGGGTCTCTTTTTGCCCCTTCTTCTTGTTTTGGCACAGAAAATATCTGTCCTGCTGGTCACACTATTGCTTAAAAGCTGCTTGCCCTGAAATTCTTAAATGCCAGCTTTTGAAACATGGCCTTTTAGAAATGTGTTAAATCCTGAACTACAGGTTGTGTATTCAGTTCAGGGACAGGTGGGAGGCATTTTCAGTTCAAAGGATTAAATAATTTTCACAGGAACGAACTGGAAAAAGCAAGGAAATTCATCTTGTGAAAGAGGCACTGGAAGAATGGCAGCTGTAGGTCTCCTCTAATTAGACTGGAAGGAGGCACCTTTCTCAGCAGGAAGCCATGATGTGAATCAGAAGTCCATGTCTTGCTGAGCTCCGAAGTGATTTTCTGCTCCTTGGACAGCTGTAGACTCAGCATATTCTTTGGCCCACCAAAATTTATTAAAAGGGATTAAAAAGAAGAAGACCTATTAGAAGCGACTCAGTATCTTTTTCTAAGTCCTTTTATATTATGCCAAGGCTGCTATAGCCATGTACACCTTGTGCTGGGAGCAAGTTTCAGTGAACCTCATGATGCCTACATCCAGTGCTCTTTTCCTTTAAAAAATGTTTAGGGGTACTCTCATTTTGACTTAAGAAAATCACCATTTTCTAGTTCAAATCAGGAAAACTAAATACAGTAAATGGACAAAAGTACAAAGATTCACAAAATGTTTAGGGGTCTGTATACCCCTGCATCCTCTCAGAAAAGAACACCACTGTCTGCATCTGAGTAGGCAAGAACAGTGTGAGGGTTGAAAACTTTTAAACCCATTTTGCTTTCTCCAGGTACCTTATTTACAAGATAAAAATGTGTTTTCGTGAGATGCTTTAAAAATGAAATGAAATAAAGTTTGCACACACTTCTACCCATAACCCAACAAGAGACAGTTTGTACATTGTGTGACATCAATGTATTATCCTACATTTCCAGAATAATTTGGTACAGTAGAGGCATGACCTCTCTCTGAGAAAAAGCCTGAAATAAGAGTGCCATGAGCAGAAGCGGACTTTCTTTTTCACTGCTGATATCAGCAGTGCAAGGAAAGCTCTTGCTCGTCTGGAGTTTGATGCCAGGTGTTTTCTTGAAGGGTGTGAGGGACTTAGACGGCAAGCCTGACACTTACCTTGGAATAAGCACCATTGAACACAGTGGGACTTAACTTCCAAATTAAACACGCATGGGTTTATGCCACATGAGATTAAGTTGGGATGTAATAATGGTTTTCCAATATTTAAAATGACATTATGAAGAAACATTTCTCTCACAGATATATACACATACACATTCACATATATGTACGCACAGTCACTTTGTTGTAAAATTCCTAAATGAGATTTTGCATCTTTAGGGTTCTGACTTTTGTGGCATACACAATTTGGACCAGATTCAAGCAGTCCTGTCATTCTGAGATCCATTTTTGAGATCTGACTGCATTGCAGAATGTCTCCCAGATACGGCAATCCACGAGGAAGTTTAGGCAGAGTAGCATTAAGTGTTTCTGTGGTTCACCAAAACCCAATTATAGCGGTGTGCCAAAACAGCTGCCTCCAATTTGCTATCCCATTCTCAGGCTGAAAATTAGGAGCAGCAATTTTGGGAGTCATAATTCAACTCATGTTGTGAACCCCTGAAATGGTTGGGGAGCAGAGAACAATTGTGTCAGGACTGGCAGATTCTACTTTTGTGTTCTAATTCACTGATTTTGGCAGGGGCTCTTAGACAGAAAGAAGGCAAGAAGCCCCCTCCCCAGAATAACTTTGCCTCCCCCAAAACAATTTCATTCTTCTCCTTTAGTTTTGCCTCAGTGGTTTTGTCAAAATCCCCCCAACGAATTTTTGCTGAACCAGACGTAAGGTTTTGACTGATCCCTATAAATGTAGATTCTTACTTGTACGCCTGAATACCTTTCAAGATGGCAAAAATTCAAATTGCCTTGGATTCCATATCTATTTTATACTAATTATCTTCCCTACCTCTCTAATTTAGGGTGACATTCAAAGATCAATAATCCGTGTGGATTTTGGAGACGGGAGTGCTGTGTCATACGCCAATCTCAGCTCCACAGAAGATGGGATCAAGCACGTCTACCAGAATGTGGGGATTTTCCGAGTAACAGCGCAGGTGGAAAACAGCCTGGGGGCAGACAGTGCTGTCATGTACTTGCATGTAAATTGTATGTTATTACATTGGTATATGAAATATTTTAAAGATTCTTTCTTTCTTTCTTTCTTCTTTCTTTCTTTCTTTCTTTCTTTCTTATACATTTGTATGAAACCTGCTAAGAGAAGGAGTAGTTCACTTTTATATTAACACTTATTCTTTGGGAAGATGAAAGTTAAAGAGAAATGGGTACCAAAAAAATTCTTAATGCTGTGAGGAAATGGCCTCTCTCTCGCCTATCTGTGAGTAAAGTAACCGGAGACACAATTTCACTGAATTTCTCCAGGGAGGATGAAAATTCTCCACCTTTTTATCCAGGCTGGGGCTCACACTTGTCAGTAGCACAACTTCCCTCATATTGCCATTTGTTTTTTTGTTACTGCTGCAAGAACTGGCAGTAGCAACTGTGTTAGCAGCATGACCGCCATTTTGCCTCTTCCACAGTGCCCCAGACCTAGTATGATTCTTTAGTATAGCAGGAGGAGAGATGGCAACCACTTTGTGCTGTGCTTTCTCAATTTTGATTCCTCATGAAAAACTGGAAAGATTTGTTTATTAATGTATTTATATCCTGCTTCGGGCCTGGCACCAAATAGTGGGGGTTGCTGTTCTCTGGGACTGGTGGGTGAAGGAAAGGGTACGTAACATCAGGTGGAGCCAAAGTTAAGATCACAGTAGGCAGATCACACTTAACACTGAGGAACACTTGACACATGCAGACGGACCCACACAGAGAGTAGGGGAGGGAGAAAGCGCAAAGGGTCTGGTGGGGTGTGTGTGTGGAGAAGCTGACTGGTTGAAGCGTGGAGGGGAATAGTAAGGTTAGGGGCTGAGAGGAAATAGAGTTTGATGAACAATAGTGGAAGCTTGGGAGGAAGATGAAATAATGAGGTTAGATTGGGGGCAGAGAGAGCAATGTTCTAGACACTGGAAAGAGGCAAAATGAGAGGCACCAGTATGAGTGCTGTCCATAATTAGGACCTGCAGGACATAGCTGACTTTCCATGATAAGCACACGGTTGTCAGGAGTAGTTATCTCTTCCATTTTGTTTTCAGTCACTCTCCCCATGACAGCCATTTTGTGTTTTGCCATGGCACCTCCATGGCAGCCATTTTGTGACGGCTAACCCCCCAGCACTCTCTCAAAATTCAAAAGGTGCCCACTAGCCTAAAAAGGTGGGCAACCCCTGGTCTACTTGAAAGCAGGTACCACCCAGTTCAGTGGTACTTCTTTATTATTAGTGTGTAGAAGATTGCAGCCTTAGAAAGGAAAAAGGAATGGGAAAGGTAAAAGAAGGAATTAGCTTAGCGGGCTGAAAGGTGCAACAAGACTTTTGATAAGTGGGCATTGCCCTAGGCAACAAAGTCCCTGTGGGCTGTATACTAGTGAGCACAGGGAAGCCTTGCTGCAGAGGTGCCAACTTGTGAGGGAGATGGGGGGGGGAAGTTGAGCAAGTGCCACCCTCAATTTACATCAGGATGTTGAAGGAGCCAAGAACATGGTGGCAACATGGCTTCAGTGGCCAGTGGCTCCTCATCGCCCTCCTCCTCCTGCCACTGCCACTGGCTGGGGGCTTCTCCCCCCCCCTCCCCTCCATGGCAGAAGGGGGAGGAGCCACTGAAGCCACAGTACGCTCAGCTCCACGCTGGGCCCTGATTTTGGGGAGTTGCTGCCCCTGCCCTGTTCACATAGTCAGTTTGCTCTCAGAGGATGGGATTTACAGAGTGCGCAAACAGGCCTTTGTTTATACTGGCCCATGAAAGAACTATAACACAATACTAAGCTTTAGTTTGAAGCTATTGAAAATACCTAAGCTGATATATGAAGTGCTTTTTTTCTTTTCTTCCTTAAAAAATGTTTGGGGTACTCTCATTTTGACTCAAGAAAGCCACCATTTTATAGTTCAAATCGGGGAAAATAAATGCAGTAAATGGACAAAAGTACGAAGATTCACAAAATGTTTAGGGGTATGTGTATCCCTGTGTACCCCCAGAAAAAAGCACTGCTTTTAAATGCAAAAGTTAAGATTTTATATAAAGAGCAAGCAGCCCATTGAACCTTGATACAAAATTTACAAAGTTCTGTTGGCCAATCTTCACTTAAACTATTTATTTATTTATTTATTTATTTATTTGTGAGTTTGTATTTATTTATATAAAGCAGTTCTCAGCATTATGCCACAAAAGCCAAACAAGGATACAGAAATGATTAAGATCAATATTTAAATATCAGCAACCAAAATAACCCAAATCAATATGAAAGAAATGAAATTGCCTTCTCAGCCTCTTATCTCTTCCCATCTTTATGAGAATGCCAGTGGGGTGAGGAGGCCAGGCCTTCTTTGTTTGTAAAGGTCAGTGCAAACACACTTGAGTGCTGGTAATATCTCCAGAGAGGCTCTGGGGGTCTCTGATAACACAGGGCCATGCAATCTGCTACAATTTGACAGAAGATGATTCTGCAGGGACCCATCTTCACTGTGCACTACTTTGTTTGCAAGCTAATGAGGCCATTTGATGGAGCAGCTATTTGCCTATGCAGGCCACAAGCTACAAAGGAAAAGTCGTTGTCTGGGTCATTCCTCTCTGGGAATGGGTTTCCCCACCACATAATTTGATCAACACAGTGTACAGCATTAGAATAGAATGCAAAAAAAGTTACTGAGACTCTCAGCAGGATCACAAGCGGCATAGCTTTTCATATTTTCCTCAGTGTTTCTAGAATCAAATTTTTCACAAGCAGACTTAGTAATTGTGGCTCCCAGCAGTCTAAGGCAAGCAGGTACAGAGAATGGAGGTATTCAGTTACAGGGTAGAGAGGGCTAGTCTGTCCCTAGTGCTCCTGAAAGCTGATTCACATGATCAGTTGCATATGCTTTAAAGGTCAAGAAAGGGCAGTGTCTCTCTGGTTTTAAACTTTATGCCTATGGTTAGAATGGTAAACATATATTTTTTAAAAAAAATATCATGAAAACAAAAGATTATTACAAATAAATTAAACTAATAGTTTCAAGCTAGTGTTCTAATACAAAATTAGTCCAGAAGAATGTAATAAATAAAAAAACCGGGAGCATTGTAAATGTAGAGAGACTTTCTGTAAAACCATAACAAGAATGCAGAAGAAATTTGATTCAGTTTGCATTTGAAATCTATCCAATTCCCACTATGAGAACTGAAACACAGCCATCCTTCAAAATTTGCACTTATCACAATTCTGTGATGCAGTTCTTGAGCCTAGCAATGTTTACAAAAATGCATATATTACAGAAAAATCTGCATAAATGTGAAGCCATTAGTGAAAATAACATAAACATGCATTATGTTAGTGAAAATTACTTGCAACAATGTATCCATTAATCAAAATTGCATATGAAACCGTGTCTGCCATCTGTGAGCAGAAATTCACAGTAAAACGCTGGTGGATTTTCATGAGGATTCTTCTCATTGTTTTAAACCACACAAATTGCCTGCAAAATGTGGAGAAATGAATTTAAGAATAGAAAAATGAGAAACAGAGAGAACCAAAATGGATTGGTCCTTCTATTTATAACCGTTGCCCATAGACATTAGAGCACATAGGAAGCTGCCTTATACTGGGTCTTTGTAGTAATATTATTATTATTATTATTATTATTATTATTATTATTATTATTATTATTAATTTATTTATTTATACCCCGCCCATCCGGCTGGGTTTCCCCAGCCACTCTAGGCAGCTCCCAACAGATTAAAAACAGAATAAAAGCTTCCCTAAACAGGGCTGCCTTATATGTCAGATAGTTGTTTATTTCCTTGACATCTGATGGGAGGGCGCCACCACTGAGAAGGCCCTCTGCCTGGTAAGTATTTCAAGGCAGAGATCTCAAGTGGGGAAACTCCCATCACCTGAAACCTGATGTGGGATCTTCTACATGCAAGGCATATCAATTCCTCTATATGCAAGGCTCTACCATGGAGCCACAGTTTCCCCTCTGCCCAAAAGAGCTGCACTTGGGACTTGAACCAACAGATGCACGAGAAGACTAGAGATGTTTGCCCTCCATAGCCTGGATGGTTGTAGGACCAGTGACAGTGACATGCTGGGGATGACAGAGCTAGCTAGCATGTCCCTGGTTTGCTCACTGTATGGGGGGGGAAAGCACACTAATGTCTCATGCACAGAGGAAAACAGGATATGCCAATTCCAGGAACATGAATGGTCCTTGTGGAGGCAAACCCTGTATTTTTAGGATATCTTGAAAAGTTTTAAATAACAATTGACCCCAAGATCGTAAAAGGTTGTCCAACTCTGCAAGAAAAAGTAATATGTATTTTTATTGCTATCGATATTGTGTAGATAGGAGTACAACACCACCTGCTGTTCCAAAGCTGCATTTTCAAAGCTGCATTTTTTTGTTTTCTAATACACTGATTTCAGAAGTTAATCATAATTACCCACTTTGTTGATTTAAAACACACACGCACACACACACACGAAGCTGTCCAGCTCTCAAAGGAGAATCTATGTTCTACTCATGATTCTTCATAAGTCACTTTTGTGAACTAACGGGGCAGCAATAAAACTGCTAGCACATTTGCAAAGCTAAGGATGGTCTGGTAGGGTCTCAAGCTGGGTGGGGCAATGTGTTGAGATTCCTGCATTGCTGAGGGTTAGACTAGATTACCCTCTTTGTCCCTCCCAACTCTATTTTTCTATGATTCTGTAATATTCAGAATGTGCCTGCTTCAATTAGAACTAAATGGCTGAGTTTGTTCAGCCTATTACATTGGATGAAACCAAAATACTGGATGTTAACCAGAGTACTCAAGGCCAAGTTTGGATAATTAATTAATAATAGCTTAATAAATATTTGATTCCATTGCACAAACACAGATTGCTCTGACTGCATGTAATGAAAGAGGTTTCCTGGTTAGGCCAATATTGTATCTATCTGGCATAACACATATTACATCTGGTGAACAACTTTTCAAATTTCCAGTTCAGATATCCATTTTCCATTATGTGCACTTATTGCAGGAAACTTGGCCTTACATGTGGAGCGTCCCCACCCCTCTTCTTAAGTGAAAATGCGTGTAACAAACAATCTACATGTACTACCACTTCCAAGAAGCATTCCATGCATATACAATGTAAATAATATAATCAAACATTAAGCAGGCTTGTATAATAGTTTAGAGCTGATTACACCAGTTAGGTGAGGAGACCTGAATCCAATCCTCAGGGCAGACATATTGAAATCAATGGACATGATGAACTAAAGGCCATTGATTTTGATGCTTGAGTATGACTTACCGTAGTTGGAAATACAACCCTGAATATCCAACATTCTTAACAGATGTTGCCATTTTGCACATTAGAGCTTTAATAAAAAGTTTCTAATGAAGATAGGAAGTGACACCAATATATTGTTTCTGCTTCATTTTGTTCAGCTCCTAAAAGTTCAGAACACAGAACTGGTCCCCATCTCCCAACTCTACTGCCATGAATTTTAATGTACAATGCTAGTAAGCAGAACCTAGATAGTTAAAAGAGAGTAGTAATGGGTAGGGATGGGGGAGAAATTCATTTCAGTTTGCATCTGAAGCCAAATATATCAAATTTGTATTTTTTTTAAAAAAACAACTATGTGAACAAAAACACAAGCATCCTTTAAAATCTTTAAATTGCACTTGTCTAATGTTGCAGTGCAGTAATGCAGCCAAGCATTGCTTACAAAAATGCATCTATTAGGAGGAAATGTGTGTAAAATGAATACATTCATGAAAATAACACACTAATATGCATTATATTAGAAGTAATTGCTTGCAAAAATGTGTGCTTTAATCAAAACTGCATGCAAAAGGTATCAGGAGAAATTGACTCTGAAAGGTTGAAGAATTTCCATGAAATTGCTTAAGAAATGTGGAGAACTGATTTAAGACTGGAAAAATGAGTAATTAAGAGAGAACCTAAATTGATAGATCCTTCCATCCCTAGTCATGGGTAGCTTGTGGTCATTTCCTCCTCATTGTATTGTGTGAACACCTGCAAGTAGGCACATTTCTAAAGATAGGATAAGCAGCAGCTGTCCATCATTCCCACCAGTACCAACAGAGACCTTTTCTCTTGAAGCTATGCAAAGGTGTAGTTTTGGTGGGATCCCAGCGCCATGTCTAGATAAGTCCTGACATGAACAAAAGTCAAGAGGTATAAAAAAATTCCACACTGGGTTCCTCGGTAAGATGTAGATTGAATAATAATAATGGAAAGAAATCAAATTTCATTGGGAGTGTAGGAAGCTACCTAATACTGAGTCCCACCATCAGCCCATATAGCTCAGCATTGTCTCTACAATGACTGCTGGTGACTTTCCTGGGTTTCAGGCTGGGGTATTCCTAGTACTACCGAGAGATGACAGGGATTGGACCTGGGATTTTCTGCATCCAAAATGTTCCATCTTATTTGGATTGGTTCTGCATGTTTGTTTGTTTTAATTTGATTTTTTAATTTGTATTTTTTTATTATTATAACCTGCCCTGCGACCTTATGGTGAAAGGTGTGTAAGGAATCTTAGAAGGAAATCAATGCTCCACCACTGAGCTACAGCCTTTCTCTTAATTGTGCTGTAGGGTGCTACACCTTCTTCCGTATTGTGTATGGATATTTTGTAATAGAAATAAAGGGATGTGATAATAAGCCTCAGCCTTGAGAATGCTTGCAGGAAAACAACAGCTATGATACCATTCCACCACTCAAAATATAACCTATGTTGGGAGAAGAATCTTACCTTGTTATACTTGGTGGGAAAACTTGTTTTCTCAGGGTATTGTTGCATTTCTTTCCTTTCCTACTTTTCTTTATTTTCAAAATAAATTGTTCCAAATGAGAGACAGAGGGCAGTAGGGCCAAGTATAAATCTATTTTTTTCCTGATATTTTGCAAATTCTCTTTGCATAAAAAATGGAGACTAGATTTGTGAAGAAGTTATGAAGTACTTTGGAACGGATCCTTCCTAGAAATAGATATATTTGCTGTTGACCTACAACACTCTTCCTATCAATCTGTAAGCCCCCCCCCCCCCGTTAATGCAATATATTCCCAAGAAAAAGCAACACCCCTGTATTAACTCAGCCAATTACCGCTTAATGTCTCCTGAGGATATGGCCATCTATATTTGTTTGGTTGGCTTCTGCGTAGCAAAGATTTTGCTCATTATCTTTACCATTTGAAAGTTGCTGTTCTGAAATCTTTGTCCAGAATTGTCATAGTGCCACTTCTCCCAGATACAGTTGGTTTATAATTAGAATCAAATAATTAAATTTAATTATCCAGATCCAAACAATTCAATAAGCAATCGTGTCAGTACACATATCTTGTGTTTCTGATCATTCAGAACACCAGATAAATGTACGGTGATAGTTTGCCTAAGCTGCATTTGGAGTTGGGAGGCTGGAGTCCATGTTGTACATTGGATTGTTTGCAGGTATATGTTTTAAAACAAGCAGACTATTACTTGCTGAAGCACTTAGGTTTGAGTGAAAAGATAATCTATTTGTCACAATGCAACAAAAGTTACAGCTCTCATATTAAGTTATTGGGTGCTCAGACCAATGCTTCATCTTGGCAAGAATTGTCTATCTGGTGGGTAGCACCTATGCATGGTCTTATGTTAAGGGGTTTTAAAGCCCTGCTTACCAGGACACATGGTGAAATTGGGGGTCGTCTGTAAAATAGTACTTGTTTTGCTAATATGCTTTGGACTGTCATAGTGAGAGCAATCTGTGTGTAGAAAGGAAAGTTTTTATTTGCTGCTGACATCAGATAATGTCCTTTTCATCCTAATTAGCCACTTTTAATCCTATAAGTTGCCCGGGCAATGTGTTATTGAGAAAAGAACACTCACAAAATCTGGAGAACTGCACTCCTTTGGGTGTGGGCTTGTGTTTGAGACTGATACTCAATCAGAAAGCATAACACTGCAAGCTGCCTTAGCATTCCCAACCTAATCATAGACTGTGCTACAGCATCCACAAAACCTGATACGCACCTGTAATCTGGTAAATGTGGTGGGGAAAAAATAGCATGGCCTGACAAGGTCAAACTCCATCAGCATTCTTCAGCTCACCTTAAGGATAGCTATACTGAGCAAGGTTGTTCTACATATGGCAATGCTCCTGCATGAAAGTTACTTCTGGGTTAGAGTGTGAATCCCATCTCTACTGCGTTGTGTATAATTATCTTTTATGTATACTAAAAGAACATGCACTAGGAAGCTGTGACTCACCATGGCTTCCCAGAGTCAGTGAAGAAAGAATATGGAGGCTGTGGAAGCCTTATAACTGAATCTTATATTTGTTACCTCAGCAATTAGTCCCACTGGGGCTTCCTCTCAAATAAGTTCACATAGGATTGCAACCGGTGTTGAAATAAGAATTTGTAGGTAGTAGTCTTCAGCCCTTATTGAAACCAAGGGTGGGGTCAAAGACAAGTATAGAGTGTTAATGCATAAAGCTAGACTCATCTACACGTTTCTCCATTCTCTCTTGTTTCCAGGTCCTTTGGAACATGTCCATTTATCGTTGCCCTTTGTGACAACAAAGAACAAAGAAGTTAATGCTACGGCAGTCCTGTGGCCCAGTCAAGTTGGAACACTGACTTATATCTGGTGGTTTGGAAATAACACCGAGGTTTGTATTTCATGGAGATAAATTAATTGTTAAATTGTGACATAATAACATTATCACGGGGCTTGTGATTTCTCTCAGGGAACAGCTTACAGGGCCCTGCAAATCACAGAGAGCAACTCTCAGCACTTTTATGTTGCAAATCAGCTTTTTTTTTTTAACTTGCTTAACTGTCTCTGTTTAGGCCTAATTTGCATCTTATGCAAATCACTAATCCCCCATTGGACACGGCTGAAGAGATCAAACTGAGAAAACTGCAGAGTGACAGATTATCAAAGATTCCAAGATTTGGGGCTTTTTTCCTTTCCTTATGTAAAATGCAAGCTTTTTTTTTTTTAACTCATGTTACAAACCCAGACTTCAGAGATAAAGTTCTGAGTTCAGCTGATGATGTCTCTGCACTGCTCCAGGGTTTGAAACCGTATTTTACAGTGTGTTGTGCTCTGTAGCACTAGTAAAAAGGAATGTTTGCCGAGAGTCCCAATTCCTACTCTTTTCATAATGCTAAGCCTATACGAAGTTCTCATTTGTGCTGTTAAGCTGCAAGAATGCCTCATTACCACATTCCAAGAGAAGTGAAATGACATGTAGTACATTTCCCTGCCTACGGACAGTAGTTAGCATAAAACAGTATGCCAAAATAACCCACTACCCACCCTCATTTGTTCACTGGGGGGAGAAAAATCTTTAATCGGTGCGTGATAAATTGTGTTGCTAGACTCGTCTAAGGCTACTTTGAATTTCAATAGGAAGTTAGGAGAGCTCACACTAGCAGGAGGTAGTTGACAGGGCGGTGGGGCAGCAACATTCAACTAACCTCCCAAAAGTTTAGTCACGGCTGTTTAGGGTGGTGGCAACTGCTAGCATGACTGAATAATTTTTCATATATCCAGGGGGTCAGTTCAGGTGTAACACAGATATGCAGTGTGTTTCCCTTATCTCAGTTTCCTTTATATACTACACCTCTTGCCACATAAATGGCTGTAAATTTTAAATCTGCCGCCTTTTTGCCTGCTCTTATTTGTCGGACTATTTAACCTACCCTGGGTTCGCCCAGTGAAGGGCGAGCTACAAAATATACCGGTACTTAATAAATACTAATAAATAAGTCGTGGTGACAAGAGGGAGACTTGCACTGCATAAAATTTCCTGCGGCGGCCTTTGTGAAATTAGGCCATTCTATGAAACTGCCTGCTGGTTCCAATTCCCTTGCTTGATACTGCGTATCTGATGCTTTGTCTCTGGTGCAAGGCAAGATATACAGGCTCAAATGAGGTATCTGATACAAGCTGTTACCAGTGGGATTGGCAACTGTCACATCTTGGTGTGCTACGGAGTGGCCATTGTGCTGCTTTCTTTTGGATACTATTGCCGTGGCAACAGCCAGGTAGCGGTGCTTAAACATGGAGTGGAAATGGTGCAGAAACCAGGAGTGGTAGGTCTCTAAGATGAAAGAGAAAGTAAAGGAAACTCTAGTATTAAGAGGACAGTAGCTACTACAGAATCCCCTGCATTAATGCAACTAAGTTACACGTTTTATTAGTGGCTGCCGCTAGCACAATAGTATCTCAAAAGCAAAGTAGCTTGTATTGTGTCAAGCTCTAATACTTGGTGGCCAATACAGTATCTCGTGAGCCAAAGGACTTCGGTTGTATAAGTGGGGTAGTTGATGTAGCAAGGACATTGTTGTGGGGAACCATGGCAGTTCTCAGTTGGTAGCTGGCAAACATAATGCACCATTCTAATGAATTCACTTACAGAATATAATTTAAGATGTAAGATGAATTGTTAATACTTTGAACAAAGATGGGTAAGCTCAGGCTTGGGAGCCCAAGGCGGCCCTTCTGGTCTTTCTTTATGGCCCTTGGGACCCCCACTACAGAATGCAGCCCTAAGGCTGCAAAAGGTTTCCCATTACATTGTAGGGTGACATATGAAAGGGTAATCCATTTGTGTCTTTTTTGCTTTTGCTATTTGTTTATTTTTTCCCTTGAAATAATGTAACAACAACAACAATTTATTATTTATACCCCGCCCATCTGGCTGGGTTTCCCCAGCTACTCTGGGCGGCTTCCAACATAATATTAAAATAAAAATAGTCCGTCAATCATTAAAAGCTTCCCTAAACAGGGCTGCCTTCAGATGTCTTCTAAAAGTCTGGTAGTTGTTTTTCTCTTTGACATCTGGTGGGAGGGCATTCCACAGGGTGGGTGCCACTACTGAGAAGGCCCTTTGCCTGGTTCCCTGTAACTTGGCTTCTCGCAGTGAGGGAACTGCCAGAAGGCCCTCAGCACTGGACCTCAGTGTCCAGGCAGAATGATGGGGGTGGAGACACCCCTTCAGGTCTTCTCCCTCTTTTCTGTTCCAACTTTTACATTCCCTTATATTTTTCCCTTTGTTCATGCCACCTGCGAGGATACATTCCTCATGCTTGTATCCAGGATCTTATTGCATACACCTTGAATTATTTGTCCCTGATTGAAAGCCAGAAATCTGCAGCACTTTTGCCACCAGCTGAACTGACCTGTACTGCCCTTTGATAAGATGGAAATACACATTATCTTTGTCTCTATGTTACTGTGAGGATAGGTAATAAAAGGATCCTCATGTAAAATAACTTCATGCATGTGTTAGGGGCTGCAGTGTTAAGGGTTATTTTTCTCAAGATCAGCAACAATACCAAAATCTGTCCCCATCATAACCACTGATATCTAAAATGGTTCAGTGGAAGAGTTTCCTTCTCATATTTTGAAATATGAGAATTGGCTGGTTATTTTGAGAGGCATTTGTCCACCTGTATGCTGACTGTCTTGAGTCACCTGAGTTAATCTACGAAGTCTTATTTCCAGCTCATCTGTTTTCTTCTTGCTGTACCCTGTGGTCTGGATTGTGTTCAGGGTGTTCAAATGGATAAGACTGCCAATCGATGTTCCACTTATCCTTCCTCAAATTGGAGCTTCTAGGAATCCTGGTGTTTGGGTGGGTGTGGCTATTTATTTATTTTGTTGCTCAATATCTCCATGGTTCCCTTCTTCAGGCCAACAATCCTGGGCATCCTTAATCCAAGTGTATTTTCAGCAGCAGGTTTAAGAGAAGGGTCCTTGGCCAGACTCTCTATGCAACTGAAAATAAGGCAAGCCAGAGCATTAAGTACCTTCCCTGCTTTCTTCTTTTACCTTTGCAGCCGCTGATCACCCTGGAAGGGAGCATTGCGTTTACATTCTCCACCGAAGGGATGAACACTATCACAGTGCAGGTTTCTGCAGGAAATGCCATTCTGCAAGACACCAAGATGATTGCAGTGTATGGTGAGCCCTATCTTGTTCACTGTTATTGATTCATTTCTCAGACTACTGCAGTGGTTGTCCTGTCATACACACACCCCACACACGTTACTCAGAGAAGAAGGAACTAAGGACACAGACAAGATAACAGCTTTCAAGGGGAATTGTATCTGTAAGATCAAGTTGTCAAGAAGGGCAGCTGCAAAGGTTTGGTGCTCTTACATTTTGTGGAGTTCTGCATAGCTGCAAGGACCCAAATTAAAGAACATCCATGAAGTTCAGGACTGCATATAATTTTATTTTATTTTATTTTTTGCACTCACGCCCACATCAAAACACATCTGGGAAACACATCTCCCAAACCTCTATTGTTCTGTATCTGTAGTGGCAGCACATGCTCAGTTCAAGTGCTGAAGCCTAATGCCACCCTAACGTTCATTGCACCTGTGGTCCTATGCCTACACTTACCATACTTAGTTGTCTCTCAACACACTGGACATAAATCTGGTTGAAAAGAGACACATACTATGCAGTGTGCAAAATAGAGTGTGAACTGACACAATAGAGTTGGACTCTCACTTTAGTGGAACAGCACTCAACACCTTTGCCAAATTGCAGAAGTCTAAAGAGTAGCATGGATAAGAGATGTTGTTGGGGTATTAGTGGTAGGGGGTGGGGCTTAAAGATTTCCATATATTTTCCCTCATGTGCAAACTAAAAAATACTTTCTGCCAAAATGCACTTACCATTTGCATTTCCCCCATTTGATGTTCCCAAGGTTGTTTTGGTGAAAAAAAAATCCAAGTTGTAAAATGTAAATGTAATGCTCAGAGCTCCTGCAAAACTAACTTGCACAGAATACCCAATTCTTGTGTTTCAAATGCTGAGCTCAGTATAACACTTCTCCTAAATCCCCAGTCTCGGTTCCCCTGCTGTTTAGCACTTTAAAATAATTGCCATGCAGCCTCTCTTATTTTGAGGGATGTTTTGGAGTGTTTCATTTGTATCCTTTCAAAAGACAAACACCCTAATTGCTATGTAAGATGCTGGCATTTTGGGGAGATACAGAAAGGGAGGAGGAAATCAAAGCAATTAATGCAAATGAGGGCTCTGCCTGATGGAATGCAGGTTCCTTCCCCTGGTTTATGGACCATTAACACTTAATGAGCTGATTGCCAATAAGGCTCCAGACTTACCTGCATTAACAGTTTACTCCGTGTCAAAGCAAAGTTAAAGTTGATTTAATTAGAAGCAGACCTGAAGTATCACTTCAGAACCAGCTCAGGAGACCCTGGATGTTGTTTGGGTTTACAGGATTTAAGTAACATCATGCACCGTTCTGATAATGGGGCAAAGCACAGCTATGACATAATAATGTAAAACTGTGCAAAGACAAGACATCCCACGACTGATTCATACACCTACCATGGCCCTGGCATCTCCCTCTCTCTTTTTATGCTACATTGTGGTTAGCTGAATTTTTCCAATTTTTCCAAAAACCTTTCAAGTGCCATTTAAATTCCCTGTAAAATAGATGGCTACACAGACTGGTAGATGGTTACATGGGTATACAGATGCACAGATAGATAGATATACAGATGGGGGGGGGAGCTTCACTATACCCTCAGTGTAAAAATAATAATAATAATAATAATAATAATAATAATAATAATAATAATAATAATATTCTAGGTTCCTCTGCCCCCATCCCTTTCCATCCTTCCTGCTACACCAGTGCATCATCATAAATAATGTTGTTCTGATTGAACAATTGGTAGATCTAATTCTAAACAGTTATTTGCTGGCACAGCTGAGTGATAGGATCAGAATGTTAATCAAGCTGTGTTGTCCAATATGCACATCAATCTAATTGATTAGAAAGCCAACCACATTTTAAAAATTCAGTAGCCACGTCCCAGGAGTTTTCACTCATAATAGCCTTTTCGTTCTCTCCATCCCGTCTTCCCCTAGAGCAATTTCAATCGCTACGGTTATCATTCTCTCCAAATCTGGACGACTACAATCCAGACATTCCTGAATGGAGACGAGACATCAGTCGAGTCATCAAGAATGCTCTGGTGGACGTAAGTGCAGAAATAAGTTGTCACTTCTGCGTGATGCATTTCTTTCCCTCTGTCCAGCACTCGCTTCGGAAGCTCTCACCTGCAGGAACCCCTCTATAATACCACTTGCAGAAACTCTCCAGTGATTTTGCAGGGTTATTCTGGGAAACAGCATTAGTTGAATTTGGGAAATACAAACAGTTCTGGTTTTGCTCCTCATGGCTCCAAGAGGAAGCCACCTCTGACATGTTCTTGCATCTGTAACAACATGTTTCTCTTTTGCCATGTACTGAAATATGTGAAAATTTATCTTGTTTCATTTGTAGCTAGAGAGAGAAGCAGTTTAGATATCCAGCTTGCAGTCTTCATTTCATTTTCCCTTCAGTTTGCACTGCTTCATTGCAGCATTTTATCCACAACTGTGGTGGCATTCAGACAGTACACCAAGGCTTTCCAGGTCACTGAGGGCTGCCCTGTGCCTGAGCTTTGATAATGCAGTTCATTAATCACCCCTGCTGCATTCACTTAGCAATATGGAATCAAAAACTGAAATGCACATTCCTTTGCCACCTTTTCTCTATAGAGTAGGTGTTCCAGAACACAGAACAAGGGAGTACTGGGACCTATTGTGCAAAATAATATTCTTGGGGAAGTAATTATCTAGCCTGTGAAACTGGTGCAGTTCTACTGAAGTCAATGTGATTGACACAGTGTTTGTGACAACAGAGCAAGCGTGTTTGTGAATACATATTTTGGGGGGAACCCTTCATAATAGTCCACTTTCTCTAGCTTCTCTTGGATGAATTTCTCAGCAGGGTATGTTAAGGGGTTGTAAAGGAGTTTAACTGTGTTTTCTATTGACTAATAATAATAATAAAAAGAAACAGAGTTTAATGAGCAGAAGCACTTATGATTAGGTGGCTAACCAGAAATGGGGGGGAAATAATGTAATTGAATGACAGGAAGAAAAGCAACAGCAAGATATAACTGTGCCTGCACAGTGTTGTTTATAAAATATAGAAATGGAAACAAATGGAATCATGGGTCATCTCACTTGTTCCACAACAACAATGACCAACCACTTCAATCCACAAGATTCTTGGGTGAAATTTGGAGGGAGGGAATTTCAGAAGCTCAAGCATAGATGAACAGTGTTGTGTGTTGGGGCAAAAAAAGATTCTTAATTTCACATAAACCTTCATGAGTTCTGATTTGGCGGGGACTGACCAGGAATGAGACCTTGGGGTGGTAGTAGATAGCTCAGTGAAGATGTGTGTGGTGGCTGTAAAAGAAGCACATTCCATGCTAGGGACCATTAGGAAAGGAACTGAAAATAAAAAAAAATGCAAATATCATAATGCCATTACAAACATCTATGGAATATTGTATATTCCAGAAAAAAATATTTCTTTATTTTGTAAGCAGCACGTGTCATTGGCAATTCTCGTCATCTCACTCGAAAAAGGATATTGTGGACTTGGAATAGGTTCAGAACTGGGCAACCAAAATGATCAAGGGAGTGGAACAACTCCCCCATGCAACCCCATGCCTCAAAATCTGCCTTGGAAGATTGCAGGAAGCTTGGGGGGACCCAAAGCAGTGAGGAGGGGAAAGCAAAATCTCATTGCACAAGCCAAAGTCTGCTTGTGCAACCTTGGATTCCACTCACCCTCTATCTATTGGTATTTTAGCTGATTGAATGATTTTAGTCCTCTTAATTTCAAGGCTGTGATGCTACCCTGGTATATCATCACCCTTTCTTTCTGCATACTAGGTAACAGGCATTTCCAGTAAGCATATCTTGGTGGCAATCCTGCCAGGTTTACCCACATCAGCAGAACTCTTTATTTTGCCTTATAAGGATGTCACAGGGGAAGACAAACGAACAGCAGAAGACCTACAACAGGTACTGTGTCCTTTCATTATGCACAAGTGGTGTGTACAGGGAAGAGACTGCATTTTAACTTCTCTCCCCCCCCCCCAAATGTTGGCAAACAAACACTGCAAATTTCAGGAAGAATACATTAACCATTTTCATTCATAGCAATACTTATTTCATGATAGACATCTGAAACTTGAAATGTTAATGCCCATGCTTGTTTGCGAATCACACTAGAAGGTCTGTTTATGTGGTTCCTGGAATCTGTGCTGTAGAAGGACAGACATGAGTGGGAAGTATACAATGCAGGAATAAAAGTGTGACTCCCAGAAGACAGAGAGAGATACTATGACATTCACATGGGTTTTCCTAAGGGTCACATCACCCATTTTCCACAAAGGGGATGATTTCACTATGAAGGCAAAATCCTCACCTTTATGATGTGACTCTTATAGATGTCAGAAATGAACTCAATTAGTGATGAGTGTGCTTTTATGTATAAACATGCCAGTTGTAGAATTGGATATGTTGTTTCATAAACTCAAGCTGCCATGTGTATTGACACCCCCCAATGCACCTCAGCCAAGCAGAAGTCCCCCCAGTTTATACTTTATCTTTGCTTTGCTTTTATCTTGCTTGACAAACTGCACATCTTTGTAATTTTCTCCTCATGCTGGTAATGAACATCAGGAAAGAAGATTGACTGCTTTGCAGATACCCTCCCCCAACATAAATTGGAAAGGAAGGCAGTACATAGAATCCCAGATTTACCGTTCTACTGACCCAACTCGCCTCCGGCACTTGGCTGCTTATTGCATTCCACAAATTATTATATAGATATTTTCCTTCTCGCATTCCCAGACTCACTGTGGTCATAAAGTATTGCAACACTGGCACATTGTCATCATAAGCCTTTATAGGGAGACAAGAGTAATACAGCTTTTAACAGGGACTCCAGCATCCTCTCCACTATTCTTCCTGAAGGGACAGGATTGTAATCTGCCACATTACTGGAATTATTCTTTATATATTGCTAGGCATTTCCTGTGGAACAATAGAGTACTGCATGGATTTTATAATATAAGGTTGAAACTCCTTCCCCACCCCACGAGACGTTGGTGTTGGGTTCTCATATCACCAATTGCTCTGATTTCCAGTATGGTGGTTCATGCCCACAGTGGCTTTGCTACTGATTCAGGAGCCATGCACCCACACAGAGCTGAATCAGCTGACTTTCAGCCAATAGCAGTAGCTGTCAGTGTGTTGAGGGGGAGCTGCCCTCTTGTGTGTCTGCAGCTTACCTGGATAGGGCTGGGGTGGGACAGGCTGGTGGCAAGGTTGGAGCTGTGAAAGTGCACCAGTGGTTCTTGACCTCACTGCCACCTTGAACCCAAGCCATGTCCAGGTAAGATGCAACAAAGTTTGTGTCAGCAGTGTGAATCCACAGCTCCAGCCTACCAGACCAGTTGCCCCTAGTGGGAGCTTAGGGTGAAGAGCGGGTAATAAATAAACAAATAGTACTCTATCTGTTCCTCTGAAATAATTGTGAAATGGTGGATGCTTTGATGATGTAGTTTCTATAGCTTATGTAACATGACAGCGATAATAACTCCTTGAATTATTTGAGGTGACAGGGAACTCTGGGGAGGAGAACTAATGCTCTTATGAGCAGGAAGACTGAAAATAGGTCAGTATTTCAGTTAAGAAGGACTCTGCTGTCAAAATAAGGGCTTGTGTGTGGGGAGGATTTATTTATTGGTTCATTTATTTTATCTTGTGATGCATCCTTCATATATATATGAAGGAAACCATTAGGACTAAAACACAGATAAAAATTAGTAAAACCTCTAGAACAAATCTAGGCAACTAAATGATTTGCCTAGGTAGGCATGAGTCGAAGTTGACAAATAGGTGGACAACTGGTCTGGAAACCTAAGCTGCCTTCAAGCACTACATCAAGCAGTGGATGTAGTCTACCTTGATTTCAGCAAGGCATTTGACAAGGTGCCCCATGATATTCTTGTAAAGAAGCTGGTAAAATGCGGTCTTGACTATGCTACCACTCAGTGGATTTGTAACTGGCTGACTGACCGAACCCAAAGGGTGTTCATCAATGGTTCCTCTTCATCCTGGAGAAGAGTGACTAGTGGGGTGCCACAGGGTTCTGTCTTGGGCCCGGTCTTATTCAACATCTTTATCAACGACTTGGATGATGGACTCAAGGGCATCCTGATCAAATTTGCAGATGACACCAAACTGGGAGGGGTGGCTAACACCCCAGAGGACAGGATCACACTTCAAAACGACCTTGACAGATTAGAGAACTGGGCCAAAACAAACAAGATGAATTTTAACAGGGAGAAATGTAAAGTATTGCACTTGGGCAAAAAAAATGAGAGGCACAAATACAAGATGGGGGACAGCTGGCTTGAGAGCAGTACATGTGAAAAGGATCTAGGAGTCTTGGTTGACCACAAACTTGACATGAGCCAACAATGTGACGCGGCAGCTAAAAAAGCCAATGCAATTCTGGGCCTCATCAATAGGAGTATAGCATCTAGATCAAGGGAAGTAATAGTGCCACTATATTCTGCTCTGGTCAGACCTCACCTGGAGTACTGTGTCCAGTTCTGGGCACCACAGTTCAAGAAGGAGACTGACAAACTGGAACGTGTCCAGAGGAGGGCAACCAAAATGGTCAAAGGCCTGGAAACGATGCCTTATGAGGAACGGCTAAGGGAGCTGGGCATGTTTAGCCTGGAGAAGAGGAGGTTACGGGGTGATATGATAGCCATGTACAAATATATAAAAGGATGTCACATAGAGGAGGGAGAAAGGCTGTTTTCTGCTGCTCCAGAGAAGCGGACACGGAGCAATGGATCCAAACTTACTTATGTGTGGAGGACAAGCATGTTGAAAGGGGCCTTTGTCCTACTCCCAAATTCTTGCTGCTTCCTTTTGCCATAGTCATGATGAGAAGAAGGACTGTGATGGGGAGCTTTCTCTATGCATTGAGGCTCCCTGTTCAATTTAGAACCTTGCATGAGTGCTCCCCTTTCAGCATGCTTGCTCTGCGTTAAAGAGGAATCAAGTCCTCTGAAGTATATTTGAAAGAACTGGATGATTTTTGCCCTGGACCCGAGAAGATTAAGAGTCAACATGATAGGGGCCTTCCAGTATATGAAGGGCTGCAAAGCAGAAGATGGAGCAGCCTTGCTGTCTGTGCCATATGACTGTTGCTGTGCTCCTCAGCCTTAGATCCAATGGGTGGAAGTTTTAGGGAAACTTATTTTAGCCAAACATTAGGAGAACATTGCAATTATTAGAGCAGTTGATGATGGGAAAGGCTGCCTTTGGAGTTCCCCTCTGCTGAAGGCATTTCAGCAAAAATTAGATGACCATGTTTCAGGGATGCTATGCTTGCATCCTTCACTGCAGATCTTACGTTGAGCTTGGGGTTGTACTAAACAAATTACACTGTGCCTTCCAACGCTACGATTTTGTTTGAAATTTTCATTGCTCTGTTTTTTATTTGAGCACAAGCACTGGGCAGCCGTGGGGCAATATTCAACTAAATCGTGTGCAGGGGTTTACCCCCTCTCCTCTGCCCACACCCTGTGCCATCCCCATAAGGACTGGAGGGAAAGTTCAGAAAATATTTAAGTGTGCTTCAGGGGGTAAGGGAAGAGGAGAACATTTCATTGCACAAAGAGGAATCTTTGTGCTGATAGAACTTTCTCCTTAGCGCTATACTGAACAAATCCATAGTTTCTTCATAGCTTTCTGCTCCTTCAGTTCTTTTGTGTCTCTCCATGCCTCTCTTTCTTTACCAGTATGGATATTTACATTGATAAAACTTAGTGTGGGAGGAGCAAGGATTCAATCATAGCAATCTTGATTTCACAGATAAATGCTTTACAAATCTTTTTGTGCTATGCTTATTAGTGTGCATGTATATTCATGTGCATTGATAAAACATTGCCCCCCAAAAGGCAAATTTGATGTGAATATACACTAGAGTCCCTCTATTTGTGTGTGGGGGTTGTTGTTGCTTTTTAAAAAGTAACCATCCCGCAAGACTGCATTTGTTCATAGTATAACTGAGGCCCAAATAGTCTTACCTACATGCAGACATACATTTGATCATTTTAGGATTGTTTTCTGCAGGTTGTTGTTTTTTTAAATCAATGCACATTCAAACCAATTTACATAGAGAGGAGAAGATTTCAGTAAATGGAAAGAACTGAAAACTGCATTAAACTGCACATACTTCAATTACAGAATTAATATTACAAAGTCCACTGGTTATATTTGCAATGCAGGAGGAATGTGATGCAAGACAAAAGGAGCTGGAAAAACAACAATGGAGCCAAAGGAGAAATTATTCCATCTATAATAGTTAGTAGGAAAGTGTGCATGTGTGAGAGGCAGATGGAGATAAAAGAATGAGTAAAATGAAGTTAACTTGCAAAAGAACTATTGAGCAGCACATAAGACTCTTGTGGTGTCAAAGGTCATAGTTACACATCCTGACCACCATTAAATATATATTACTAAGTTCTGTTCTCACACACACAAGCCAAGCAACTTTAAGTGTGCCACTGGAGGGCAGTATTATACCTGCACACACATGCCCACAAGTGCCTATAAACATTTAAACTACTTTACCCAGTTCATGCTACCCGGTTTATTCATAAACTTATAATCCTGGGTCAGAATTTTAATGTGATGTTGACATTTTACTTCAGGAACTGTTGAAATTTCAAATGCAAACAAAATGTGAAGTACAGCTGTTGAAAGGTTGATGTACACTACATACAGAAACACACAATTGCTGACTGACACTCAAGTTGCCTTACAAATGATTAACAATGTACTCCTTTGCATGCTTACTCAGAAGTAAGGCCTGCTGTGCTCAATGGGACTTACTTCCAAATAGGTGTGCATAGGATTAAAGTGTAAATATAGGTACAGAGCCTCATTCATAGCTAATATAATGTTAATTAGGCAATGTTACATGCAGTCAT